TGCAATCACTTACCTGAGAGGCCCTGCAATCATTTTCATCATTCGAAAATAGGGTCTATTTTTAGGGAGATAATTTTCGTTCCATTATTATTCCGCGTATCATATTTCGTCAGCTACTGTACGATATTTTTGGGAAAATTGGTCCGATATATCGATGTTTTTTTCGCGATATATCGAAGCTGATATTGATATTTTTTAAAAGATCGATATATCGATATTTTTTTCAACTTTCGACATCCCTACTAAGATTATGTGAGAAAAAGCATCTGATTTTTTTTAATAACATTTATTTACTAAGATTGAGAAGAAATACCACCGATTTTTAATAATATTTATTTATTAAGACTTTGAGAAAAGACATTAATCAGAATCTAGCTCTTCTATTCCGCTCATCTCTGCATTACCACCGTAGTAGTTATGAATAATCGTGCACTATTACTAGGCCACATACGAACATGCATCCTTTATGTAACGGAAAGTTTGAAATCGAGTTTCTAAACGCAACTTAAAGTGACATTTGGTTGACGATTTAGGTTATCAACCATTCATGGCCAAAGCTCATTAAGTGAAATAAAATATCAACCGATATTAATTATCAATATTTGTTATTGTTTGTTTACAAATGTTTGGTTTTTGTTCTTAAATTAGCGGAGTGCTAAAAAAAAGGGTTCCAGGTTTTTTTTTGCAAACCGTACTTTACAAGCGATATTTGACAGATAGAGGTCATTGGCTTTCCTATTCTTATTTGAATCGCATTATAGTGATAGGTATCTTCACTAAAAGCATCTGGCCATGGTTCTTTATGTGACCATTTCTTTCTTTGGTCGGCTTTGCCTGTTTTCCCAAGAGTTTCAAACTTTCCATCATTCTTAAAACCTTCGTTGACTATCCGCCTCTCCGATTTTCCTGAAAAAAAAAAGTAAAAAAATATGATAACGGAATTGAAACAATAACTTATTAACATGAAGCAATTAATTCAAAATTGATAGAAATCCTGACCGAGTTGAACCATAATAACGTGTCAAAAGAAATGGTCGTACTACAATATTACCAAATAGGTAATATTGTAGTACGACCATTTCTTTTCTTTTTTCCAATGTAGGGTATTACAGTTGTACACAAAATTAATTTATGCACTAAGAGATAGTGTGATTTTCCTACATTTTTTTTCAATTTCCTGGTCTTTTATTTTTTTGTGTGACGAATAAACGTCACCGCATGCGTCTAAAATATGATTGCTGCGCAAGTACTGAGTTCGTAGTACATTATACATCAATGAGCGCAAGTGGGGGCGCGGTACGCAGCGAGGGCTGGAGCAGGGAAAAAGGAATTTTATTTCAATTCACCAATCCTAAATTCATATAAGAATTTCAACCTACCTACTAAGTATTGTCGCGACCCTCTTGGGGGCGGGGCTGCCAATGCAGCCCATATCCGTGATACAAACGTATCCACCGTGGATCGCGAGATTTTGACGATAGACACGTGACAAAGGGAGAATCGAGAGACGAAGGGTGATTACTTACCATAGATTATATTGTATGTACCTTCAAGCACCAGCGAATGTCCGTCCATGCCTCTCATCTCTTTCTTACTCCATCTGTAAGTATAAATAAAATTATGACACCACTGCGTGGTGCCACTAAGTCCCGGAGTCACACCATCATCACGGTATGATTCCAGGATTCGTAGAACACATAAATATTGTCATAAATGAGTATCAAGATCATCTATATGTCAATTACCCATGTTAACTCAACAATCTACTTTAGCTGTCTAAACGATGCGGAGATTTCCTAACATGACTTTATGCCATGTGTCCTACGCTCCTGCAGAGCGGTGTGAGCATGAGAGCCAAGCCGTCGCCTGCTCCCCACGCAACCCTTGCATGTGTGCGCCCACATGCAAGAGTCGCGTCGCCCACTTTTTATGGCACTACTATGGAACGTCTCCCATCTGGCTCAGCAACTATTCCAGCTCCGTCCAGACATAGCGCTGCGCATGCCATAACACTCTCTCTTGTGGTCTTTCGGTAGGGTACCCTAGGACTTGCCTCCTGCAGAAGCACAAGCCCTCCTCTTTTATATTGTTATAATTATGTCAATGCCACAGGCGGTTCACGCCTTTAACGCCGCCGGTACTTTCACCGTGTGAGAGAGTATCTTTTTACCTCCTTTTATATTGTTATAATTATGTCAATGACACAGGCGTTTCCCGTTCTTACGCCGGTGTGAGAGAGTATCTTTTTACCGTGCCGGTAAACACAGGTACATAGGCTAATATCAAGAGCGCAGGCAAGCGCTTATTTTTACACTTACAAACTTTTCATGAGATGCAAACAGGCTATTATTTAGGTGAACTATTCTACTACTTAGCTTTCGTTATATTCCGTTGGTTCTCGAGCTCGTAGACAGGCACGCATCAGGTAGGCACATTTTTATGGCACATAACAGTTATTAAATAACAGTACAAGGTAATAATAGTATATTAGTTAAAATAGCACAACAAACAAGAAGAGAAAAAAGAGCGGCTTACTTGACATTGACATTAGTTATAGCGGCAATTGATATGTGTTGCCACCTCAAACATCGCGATTGGTGTTGCCGTCGCGACAAGTATCTTACTTACGTGCTATACTACGAAAATATCACTTCGACTGTCCTTCATATAAGAAAATAATTTAATTGCTTTTTTTTATTGTTTTGCTGCGAATAGGCTAGTTGACCCTTTTTGGAAAAAGGTTTTAAATGGTTAATAAATGTTCTATTAAACCGAAAAAAAATGTATTGTATTTTTTTTAAACCTAGAAAGCTACAAATCTTTAATTTTAAAATAGACTTTTCATGGACATACAAAAACGCTGTCGGCCATTTTAGTCTATAGATTGTCTATGCTATGACGTGAACTGTGGTAAAAAAAAACTCGTAAACACGTAGAAAATTACTTTTAACTGAGTTTATAATAAAAAAAAACATGATTTCTAATAAATACCACGAAAAATAAAGTAATTATCATTACTGTATTGTACGAGAATATAAAAACACATCCTTGAAGACTCCAGGAAAGTTGTGGATTAAAGTGCGGAAAGAAATTAACCTACGCAACTTTATTACACTTATTCATATGTTATATCAGTTTTATGTTTATTACTACATTGGGCCCAATTCTGGCGTGATTCTCTAAACTTAAAACTAAATTTAACATCAGTCTCTCCTTTTCATTCTGTATAGAGAATGACAAGGATATACTGCTGTCAAATTTAAGTTTAGGTTTAGAGAATCATGCTAGAATCGACACCATTGTAATACTAAATGCACTGTACTTACATAGATGCCTTGTCGTTTCTCTGCTCCGCAGAGCAGAAATCGGGGTTTAGTGCAACAAATTCACCAACCATCAATGCGTTAATTCTTGTCAGATTTGTGCTTTCTGCTTTCACAAAGCCGGCATCCATAATTTGTTTAGTCAAAAAAAACTAAGTTTACTGTTTTTTTCTTTCCTAAAGTTAAAAGTGTTTTAAGATAGATTAAGTCAGACGAAAGAATCCACCTACAGTAACACGCGAATGACATTTAGTTGTTTACCACAAGAGACGTCAAAATCATGGCGGATGTGGCGAACAAGGGCGAACAGCGTTTTTAGTGTTTAAAAAATATAGACTAAAAAATATTTTTTAAAATTAAATTTCTACAGCAATCTTCTGCTTTTATGAAGTGAAATCGATATATTAAGGTTCCTTAGACTAAACACTTTAAGAAATAAACATTTATTTAATACCATTCGACATGAGTAAACTAGCCTATTCACATAAAATACTTTGACTGTTAGAGGCACTATTTATAAATATAGCATTGATAACGAGAAAAGTTCATTTTCTATGAGAACTATTATGGGTACGCCAGGTTGACGCCAGCTAAGAATGTTTAGTTCAATATCTTTGGTCCTTTAAGAGTATTGATTATGAAATTTTAAATTTCGTTGCATAATTATATGCCGTTCTTGGGGACGGCCATGGGTACGCTACCTTGACGTTATGCTAGCGTATACAGTAAAAATGGTCTTTATTTCTTAAAGTAAAGATGCACTATTTTTTTATTTTTACACATATTTGGCACTATTTATTTACGCAGTATTAAATGACATAACGAAAAACCGTATATTGATCGTGTGTACGCTAGCATCACGGACACAATTATCGCTACCATAGTTCAACCAAATCGGTTCAGTGGTTTAAATGTGAGGCAACAGACACTTCTTATAATAGATATTTATTTTTTTAATTGTTAAACGGTACGGAACGTAAACAGAGAAGTGACACTTCTCTGTCTACGGATAAATACTTTAAATACCCAAAAGTTGGCTCTCAGACGAACCGCTTAAATTTTCATATGTCAATGCCAAAAACTCAAACTTATGGTAGAATTTGACATCTGTTGCACCTGGATCTGGGCTGCGTTCAATAACTTCGCTCATAGTGCATTTTTTTACCCTGACGTTTCAATTTTGACATAAAATGTATCAAGTTGGTATCAAGCTAATATCAATTTTGATATATGTTGCGTAGGTTTTCTTTTGCAACTCTATAACTCCAAACTTAAGTACTATTAAACATACTCTGAACGTATTTAAGTTTGGAACGCACTTCACTCCGGAATTTTTGGCGGGATTTCATCGAAATCGGTTGGCGTCTTATTGTAATTATTCTTTAATTCGTTCATAGTCGATATTGTGAAATAAAGTTGTTGTGATTTTGTGTTACAACCGTCTGCATAACGGAAGAATTAGTGGAATCTCTAAAATATACGCTATTCCGGTCAAGTGGACGTGAGAACTTTATTGTGGTGTTGACTACCTCACAGAAGTTTATTGAGAAACATCTCGTGCCAAACACTCCAACGTAAACATTAGAATGTGTCACCCATATTGTAATGTAAAAAAAATGAAAAATGAAAACTGAAGACTATATAGACTCTATAGGCATTGCTCCCTTTGCCTTCCCAAAAAAAGGGAGAACGCTAAAAATCACTGCAGTGGGGCTGCTATTTTTCTTTGTGTTGAAATTTCTAATTTGTTGGTAAATAAGACACACAGCAAAACATTTAGAAAACAATGACACGTCACGCTAGAAACTGTACAGCCGGTGCCGTATATACTTATCATGAAAAGAAAAAAGATGCTGCAGCTTCCGGTTATGGTACGCAAAGTGAGAGAGTTGGCAAAGACTCGGTTAAAAATTTTGATTGTTGTTGTCTAACATTACAGCCCTGCAGGAAACCTGTAGTCACAAAAGAAGGTTATTTATTTGATAAAGAAGCGATCCTGGAGTACATAATAACCAAGAAAAATGAATATAATCGTAAGATGAAACAGTATGAAAAGCAGTTAAAAAAGGAAGAAGTCGAGAAGAATGAGCTTGCAGCAGCTGAAAGAGAGGCAAATTTAATTAAATTTATGAACAGAGAGAAAAATATATCAAATCGAGACAATAACGAACCCGGCCCATCTACTTCTACCTCTGTATCTAATTTAGCTAATGGGAAGGACAAGCAATTGCCAAGTTTCTGGGTTCCATCACAATTACCCGATGCAAAAATTTCTAAAATAGAGAAGCCAGACCCTACTGTGTACTGTCCTATTAGTGGAAAAGCATTGAAAATGAAAGATCTCATTGAAGTTAACTGGACACTTGTCAATGATCCTGATGATAAGAAATCATTGATAGCAAAAGAAAACAGGTACATGTGTCCTGTAACTCATGACATTTTAAGCAATGCTGTACCATGTGCTGTTATAAAGTGAGTATCTCAATGTTGCTTAGCTAATTAAATAATAAAGAAATGAAGGTTAAAATTGTAGAGTACTACTATAAGTGGCGGCACGAAACTAGTGATGACTGTTATTGCCCAGAAAGTTTTAGGGTGAAACGAGATGCGCAGGTGGGTGTGCATTGCGCGAATTGGCTCCAGTCACACTCAAACGCTATCCCCTCCGCTTTTTTTCAGCACTAGAGTTATGTACTGCAACCTATAACTCTCTTTTGTACTTTCAGAACTACAGGACATGTTATCACTATGGAATGCTTTGAAAAGATAATAAAGAAAGATTGGATTCATCCGTTAACAAATGAGAAACTCAAAGAGAAAGACATCATACCACTGCAAAGAGGTGGCACAGGGTATGCTCTCACAAACTCAAACTTGGAAGGAAAAAATGAACGACCAGTGTTACAAGCATAAAATAAATTCAGTGTTATTCAATATGTTTCATTTTATCTTCATATGTTAATTATTTTCTGCGGAATTTAAATTGATTTCCTCCTCTCAACCTTTTAAAAAAGTTTAATCTATATCTGAAGACAATCCAATTACTACTTTTTTTTTTATATTATATGTTTATTTGCAATCAGCTCCAAGCTTTAAGCAAATGCTTTGGAAATAGTGTATTTATACGAGTGTGCCCTCCATTGAGAACATCTACTCTTAGCTCGTTGTCCTTAGAGAGACAAGATATCTTTTCACTTAAGGTGTTTAAAATAGCTGAGGTTTGTTAAGTTGGCTGCCAGTTCGTTCGGATGACTTTCCAGCCTTACTTGGTACTTCATTGTGGTGTTTTGGATTTGATCCTTCACCATGTTCATTTCTAAATACTTGTGGATCTCGCTGTTAGTTATTAGCCACGGAGTATTAGACAGAGACCGTAGTATAACATTTTGCATTCGCTGGATAATTTGGATGTTTGAGTTACTTGCGCTTCCCCATAGTTGAATGCCATACATCCAGACAGGCTTCAAGATGACTTTATAGATCAGGAGTTTATTGTCAACTGATAGCTTGCTGTTTCGTCCCATTAACCAAAACAGGCCTCTGTATTTAAGATTAAGTTCTTGCCTTTTGGTTTTACTATGTTGGTTCCATGTTAGGCAACGGTCGAGATGCAAACCTAGGTAGCGCACGCAATCCTTGTGTGGTAATGTCACATTATTCAGTAAAACTGGTGGGCAATTTCCTTTTCTCAGTGTAAAGGTGACTTGCACTGATTTGGAGGCACTGGCCTTTATTTTCCATTTCTCCAGCCATTCAGACACTTTGTTTAAACCTCTCTGCAGCTTCTTTGTTGCAATGCTAGCACTCTTATCGCTTGCAAGTACAGCAGTATCGTCAGCAAAAGTAGCAGTGGTGATTTCATCTGATACGGGCAAATCAGCAGTGTACATAGTGTACAGAATAGGTCCCAATATGGAGCCTTGAGGAACACCCGCCTTTATTTCAAAAAAGGAAGAGGTTGACTCGCCTTCTTTAACTTGAAAGAGTCTGTCTGTAAAGTACGACTTGAATAACATAAAGAAGCTGTGAGGTAGGCTGTTTTTAATCTTGCAGAGCTGACCTTTATGCCACATATGGTCGAAAGCTTGCTGGATGTCAAGGAAAACTGATGAGCAGTACTCTTTCTCTTCGAGTGTTTTTCTTACCCTGTCAACCACTCTGTGAACCTGTTCAACTGTGAAGTGTTGCTGCCTAAAGCCGAATTGATGGTCTGGTATGATGTTATCTTTTTTCAAGAATGGTGTCATTCTGTGTAACAATAGCTTTTCAAATACTTTTGACAGTATCGGTAATAAGCTAAGAGGTCTATAAGATGTTGCTTCATGTGCCGGCAGTGTTTCCACAATGAGGGGAAATTCCCCTTTTAAGGGGAAATTAGGGTCCAGAGGGGAAGAAAAAGGGGAAAGACATGAAAAGAAATTGCGGGAAATTATGGGTAAAGCATAGCCTAAAATAATGCGGCACGGAACAAATTTTTTATGGACTATAACGTGGACTAGTGTTGCCGTATAAAAGAAACTGTGGCAACACGTGCAGATTTTATATATTTTATTTATCTGTTATAGATTACTACACTAGTGCCAAATCTAAAAACTACAGCAGAATAATTTTTGAGGGGAAAAATGTCCTAAGAAGGGGAAATCTGAATTGAGGCATGGGGAAAGGAAATTTTTAAAGTGGAAACACTGTGTGCCGGTTTTCCTGATTTGTGTATCATGATGATCTGTGACACTTTCCATAAACTAGGGAAGTATTGGACTCTGAGGACACCATTGAATAACACCGTTAGAAACATACTGCCTTCTTTGGAAGTTGTTTCAGGACTTCTTGGGTGATAAGATCGAAACCAGGAGCTTTTTTAGCCTTTAAACTTTTATTAATAGTTCTCCAAACTTCTCGCACTGTCACTGGGACTGTGGGGGAGACATTTGAAGATCCTGGTTCAGGACATCGCTCACTTCATCATCCGACCGTACGTCATTTGTATGATTTGGATGGAATACGCTTGCCAGGTGTTCAGCAAAAACATTCGCCTTTTCTTGAGTAGTCCGAGCCCATTCATTGCGTACTTTAAGTGGTGGCTTTGCCACCTGTAGTCTATCATAACTTTTAGTAAACTTCCATAGGGAGTAGTCATTGGAAGCAGTGGCTGATAATGACTCTATTTGAGTAGCCAGTGTGTCATTTTTCCATTTGTTAAGCATTTCTTTTAAATTAGAAGCTGCTTTTCCGAACCTTCTCTTATCGGCGTCCAATCTGCTTTGGTGCCAGACTCTTCTAAGTCTCCTCTTTTCCAGGACTGCTTTCCTAACGTCTAAAGGATAGTTAGTGTGCGTTTTGCGTGAGTCGATAAATGGAGTAGAGATCCAACAAGCCTCCTGGATGAGACTTGTTATGTTTTTAGTTGCCTGTTCGATATCTTCGGGCGTTTTCAAGGCAATTCTTAATGTAACCCTTTCCTCAAGAAACTCTCGGAAAGAGTCCCAGTCAGTGTACTTATTATACATTTTATTTGGATTGATAAACTCCACCATCATAGTGCTTACGGTGAGTAGAAATGAAGTGTGGTCAGATGAACTATCCCAGCAAGCCTCTGATTTTAGATAGTATTTAGAGAATCCCTTCATAATAAAGAAATCTATAACATCTGGCACTTTATTTGAATCGGTTGGCCAATATGTGGGTTCACCAGATGATATAGTAATGAGGTTGTGGGTGTCAACACATTTTTTTAATTGCCTTCCTCTAGTGCTTGTCAGTCTCGAACCCCAGTACGTGTTTTTAGAATTCCAATCTCCACCAGCAATAAAACGGTTTCCAAGAGTTTGGAAAAAATTCGCAAACGTTATTTCGTTGATTTTATGTTTGGGTTGGCAGTATACAGACGAAAGATTGAATGTTCCGTATTTGTCCTCAACTGCTATTGTTGTTGCTTGTATTTCTTCAGTTTGAAACTCTGGCATAACATGGTGTTTCACAGACTTTTTTATAATAATTGCTGTCCCAGCATGTCCAGTTCCGTCAGGATGTGCAGTGACATAGTATTCATAATTTTTAGACTTAAGACATGATAATGTGGTACAGTGAGCTTCGGAAATCAGTAATACATCTAAGTCATGCTGCGACATCAGTAGTTCCGCCTCATTCTTATTAGGAACGAGACCATTTATGTTCCATGTGGCTAGTCTTAACGAAATCATTTTGATATCTTTTCAACTAGTTTTGTTAGGAGCACTAATAGTGAACCCATTTGTTGTAATACAAGTTCAAACTTCTCTGTTTGCTTCTGGAGCAAGTGTTGTATTGTATGATTAACTGGATATGACTGCGTATTTGAGAATTCAGGAGTATTCTGAGATCTATGAGTTTCATGATGTTGCAAATTTTGTTCTAGGTGTTGTATGTTGTTTGTACCTAAAACTTCCGCGTATGTTTTGTTTGTCACGTCATGTTTACTTGTTTTCAATGATCGCGCTTGCTTTGTATGTCCTGTTTGGGTGTGATTGGGTGTCTCTTTTGGTGCAATTTTATTTCTCCTAGCCAAAATTTCCGTATACACTTCGCATCCCTTGTAGTGAGCAGGATGTGGACCATTACAGAGAGCACACAGTGCAGGTTGTTTACTACTTGATCAAAAAATCATCATCCAACTGAGTAGGAATGGTTTGTCAGTCATGCGTTTACCTTTAGTTTGGCAACAGGCTACCGTAATGATTTGACTACTGGTATTGTTGTACGGGGTGGGTTGCAGCTGGAATAATAAATCTTTGTTCAGTATTAATTTTTACATTTAAGTGTCTTAGATCTAAGAAAATGATTCATTTGATTATTAAGGAAAGATTTTTCTGGAATGAGCATGCCATGTGTATTCTTACACTTATATAGGAATACCTATTGCTACTTCTTTTGTCAATAATGCCCGAATTACAATGAAAATTTTGTGACTTTTTCACTTTTTTTCGCTTCACTTTGGTTATGCCTTATGTTATGGCCACACTGTTGTTGATGTGACTATTGCTTGGCCCGACTTGGCAAAAATGGGAAATTTTCGCGATAGCTCGACAGTGTGGCCGTTACATTAGAATGACAAAATATAATTTATTGTATGTATAAAAGCAGATTTTAGGTCAAACTCAAATTGCTGAGATGCACCCTCTAATTTGAAGTTACTGTTAGGGCATCCAGTCCCGCTTTTTTTTTCAATCCCGTTATTTGCAGGATATTTTATTTTAAATCCTGCGGAATTAAATATTGGAGCTTACTTGTAAGGTGAATCTGTGTAGTGTCTGCATAAGTTCTATTATCAAGGGCTGGTAGTCCCGTTTGTTTCGTACCAGTTTCATCCTACCACTATGTATCAGTTTTCCTACTGGATCAGGGAGATAGTATCCCTAGTCCTACTGGACTACAATATTTAATAATTGTGTACCCACCAATTTGTTATTTGTGTACCTACCAGTAGGTCTAACAGGCCGGTCATTTTAATATGTATCTGGGTGCCCTACTTAGATGACAAGATAAGTCAAACTAAGCGCAAGGGTACTACTTACCTACCTTTTCTCGAAATATCTCGTTTTTTGTTTGAACCCTTATTACTTCGGTTTGGATTGTACCGGATAAACAAAATTATCGGGATACGTTGTAAATAAAAAAAACTTTAAAAACAAGATTTTATTTAAATGAGCTAAAAAATATTTTATGGATTTTTTTTCCTTTAAAATTTTACTATGAACTTATAACGTCAATTTATATAATATTGCTGCGAGATTTACCTGTGTAGATAAACAAAGTTTGATCGGATTGTCTTTTTTTCTTTCTTTGTAACCAGAACCTACTTAAATCTGGCGACAAGCTTTTATATTATTTAAATTGTGTAATACGTTATAAGTATTCTTTTTAGCGCATTTAAATAAAATCTTGTTTTAAAAAAAGTTTTTTTACTTTTAATATATTTTTTACTTTTTAGTTTTCGATGGACATAATCGAGTTCTTCAAAACCCCCATATTCTCAGCTATTCTTTTCATTTGATACCCATAGGTATTGTAGAAAAGCATAAAAACTTAGACCGCTATATTTAATTTAAGGTGACATCACTTAATTTTTCGAGTTATTCTCATCAAGTTCTTTCATGTGATACCCATATTGTAGGAAAGTACAAAAAACTAAGTCTGCCGTGTTTTTAAGTCCTTCATATTGGGTTTAAGGTAATGTCACTTTTATTTCTTGAGTTATTCTCAGCAAATCTTTCATTTGATAAGTACCAATATTGTAGAAAAAAAATAGTCCGCTAACTTTTTAGGCCCGCCATATTGGATTTAAGGCAACCCCTTTCATTTGATACCCATAATGTAGGAGTACCAAAAATAACTAGTCCGCCATATTGGATTTAGAATGACGTCACACAGCTCATCATGCATTGTCACGAAGAAACATAACAGAAACAACCAAGAATACTATAAAACTTGTAACTTTTATCCCCCAACCCCTTGTACAAGGTGATCGAAGTTTGTATGAAACTTCCGCAATTTTGACGCTAAAGGTCTCAATTGAAGACCTTTAGCGTTTGTAAAGTTAGAAGTTTGGCTCTACATGAGATCTGATAACTTTTTGACAGTGCGAGTCATATGGTCTCAACATTTCAATGAAAATGTCCTTGATGGGATTTCTTTTTGTAAGATGCTTGTCACCTATAACATCATCATCAGCGTTTTAATGTCCCCACTGCTGGGGCCTACCATGTGGATGGAATAGGGAGATTGGACCATGACTGATGATGACCCACGCGAGCCTAGTGCGGATTGGCGGGTGCAAACGACTGCAGATGCAGCCAGGACCAACGGCTTAACGTGACTTCCGAAGCACGGAAGAACTTGAGATAGAAGATTTTTGGTTATTTTTTTGGGTTACATTTTCTTTTTTGCTATATACCTACACGATCCAAATACTAAGAGGGTAGCTGTTATCAATATGTTGCACTGACTTCACTCAATAGTTCTGCCACTCAGCACCAGAGGCGGTGATATCCGTATTGACTATTTTTGTGGCGAAAATTAATTTGTACCCGTTTGAATTCCACTGAAATCCTGTACGAAAGAAGTGGAATTATTGTAGTAACTAATTTCTTTATATACCTACCTATAAAAATGATCACATAACTGGCATAAAAAAAAAGAAAATATACTCGACACTTTTGCCATCTAGTGAAGAATAGCAAATCTTATTGGTTTGGTATAAGTCAGATAAGCTTGAAACAACAAGGTCCGTCGATTTAAGGGGTAGTAGCGGGGAGGAGATTACTACCCCCTCCGCGGAAATGTATAGTTTCCAAGATATACATGGTTTAAATTTGAGGTTAAGCCTGTACTAAAAGTCAATATTAAACAACACTCCCTCCATGTTTTTTATATTTAATATAATATGAATCTATTAAGAGCTGAAAGGGAGTAAGTTAAAAGATTTTTATTTAAAAAGTGAAGTAAATTCGCGATGGCTGTATGCTAATCTTAACGTCGTCTCCAACACTAATAAAATAATAAAAACCAATGTAACTTGTCAAAATCGTGTTGTTTATGGTATATTTTGAATTTTTGGCGGGATTTCATCGAGCGTTCGGTTCGGTTGGCGTCTTATTTAAATTATTCTTTGTTCATAGTGGATATTGTGAAATAAAATTGGTGTGATTTTGTGTTACAACCGTCTGCACAACTGAAGAATTAGTGGAATCTTTAAAATATACGCTATTCCGGTCAAGTGGACGTGAGAATTTTATTGTAGTTAGTATTGACAACCTCACAGAAGCTTATCGAAAAAGCCAACTCGATATATTTCGTGCCAAACACTCCAAGAAGCATTAGATTGCGTTACACCCTCATTCTAATGTAAAAAAGGAAGATTAATACAAAAATAAGACGATGGCTGCATGGCTATGCCTTTCTCAATAGAGAAGAATAGAACTAAAAAAAAAATACGGTATAATTAGAACTTTTTGGCGGGATCGGAAAGCGTCACTTTAGCAGTTTTGTTTTTCTTGTTAAAAATTGTGTTGTGGCAGATGTTAGTGTCTAATAATGGTGGATTATTAACCACTAAGTGTTCGGGAACATGCACAAGTGTTGGCAAGTGAAACAAAATAGCGGAAAGTGTTTTTCGACGTTCCCTCAAGAAGTCCACGGGGTGGTTCCAATAAATCCTCACACATTTACTGAAACACAGGGAAAGGGGGATTGACTTGACTGCCACTTACTTTGACTTGATATAATATAATACTTTCACCACGAGTGCTATAGATTTTGTAAACATTTTAACACTTAACATTGGCTAAATGCACAAGCCGTGCGCGAAGCCATTGAGGAAAAAAAGGTATAATTTATTAAGAAAATTTTAAATTTTCGATATTTTCCGTCGAGTTCGCTGACTGTTATTTTATGTCGGAAAGACATTATTCACAGAAGTCATTCTGCAAAATTTCAAACCGCGGTGTCTCGTAGGTTAATTGAAAATAAATTAAAAGGTGTACTTGCTGCTAAACATATATAATGCGATTCAACTAAGAATAGGACCGACTGGCCGCCATATTGTGACGTCATAGCTGTCAATTCAAATCAAATAGGTAGAGTGAGCAAAAAAAAAGTTTGTATTAAAACTTATTTACTAAGATTCAGAAAGAAAAACAACCGATTTTTAATAATATTTATTGATTAAGACTGTGTGATAACAAACATTAATCAATTCCGCTCATCTCTGTATTACCGCCGGAGTAGTTATGAATAATCATACACTATTACTAGATCACATACGAACATGCATCCTTTATGTAAACGAAAGTTTTAAATCGAGTTTATGAACGCAACTTACAAGTGACATTTGGTTAACGATTTAGATTATGAACAGTCATAGCCAAAGCTCAATAAATGAAAAAAAAAACAAACAATATTTGTTATTGTTTGTTTACAAATTTTTGGTTTTTATTCTAGAATTAGATGAATGCAAAAAAATGGTTAATTTTTTTGCAAACCGTACTTTCAAGCTACATTTGACAGATGGAGGTCATTGGCTTTCCTATTCTTATTCGAATCGTACTTAAAAAACATTCAAAAATAAATGAAGTACATCTATTACATAAATATAAAAATAAATATTATTTTTCTAAAAACGAACGAGGCTCCGCGGTTTGAGATTTTGCAAAATTACTTCTGTAAATACAACCTTTCTGCTATAAAATTACGGTAAGCCAAATCCGTCGATTTGGCTTTATCTTAATCTTTATTTTAGCAATTTTCAACAAAATAAAAGTATTTTAATAAGTACTTATTTATTTAATTGATCTAATTATTTATATAATATTCCTACTAAGTATTATTAAATGAAAATAAATCTAACTGAAAGTCCACATTTTCATTTGGATTGCTTGTAATTTCAGTCTCAGGATAAATTAGGCACTCGTTGCCTAGGGATTCCAAAAAGTTCAAAACTGAAGAATTTTGGCTATCATTTTCTCTTATTTGATTGTTTGTATCAGATATAATATTCCCTGTTGATAAATTATCTATTGTATTTTCATGTAGTAAAGATGGTTCAATCAAACCGCTTGTTTTAAAGCTTTCAATCGATTTATCATTAATTGGTTGAATAATCCAATCTTTGCTGACATCAAAAGTTAATTCAGGAGGGATCCCAACACAAGAGTCCTTGCTTTGCGAAAGCTGAATATTAAGATCATCTGTAAATATACTTTGTAGATCTGAAGTATCATTTTCGCGAGGTATTGAAAGCATCGTGCTGCTTTCTTCTGAAATCTCAGTTTGACCATTTTCTAATTCCAAGGGACGAATTATTTGTACGTCATACTTTGCAAGTTTCTCTGGATTTATTTGGAATTTACGGAAAACACCTGTCGACGGTTTAATGGGAGATGATCTTATATCAAAATGTGCGCTATGAAATTGAGTATGCGTGCCACTACTTATACATGATTTACTTGAATCAACCAACTTAATGATATTATTAAGATTTTCATTAACTGTTGGTTGTTGTAAAGGGTTCTCCTTATCTAAATTATTACCTATAGAATTATTTACTATAGAATTTGGTTGCTCATTTATTGCACTTTGATCATGGTTGAAATGAAGTAAATCATGTGTTCCCACATCATTAATTAATTCGGAACTTTCTGAGTCTTCTCTCCTTTTTTTGGCATTAAACCGTTGCTTCTCTTGTTGGTTACTATTCCAAAACCTCTTCTGAGTCGTGAGTCGTTTATTAACTAGATTCGTTGCAGTGGAGTCTTCAGCCTTATTTTCTAATTCAACATTTTCATTATTTATTGTAAACAATACCTGGCCAGTTGCGCTAGGAACAGAATTGACCTGATTACTTTTGGGAGGATTGTGCCTGCAATTTCCATCTTTGTCTTTGACACAGGTGAGAGCATCCACATTTATATTGTACTTTCCTGGATTTATACCTAACAACCTGCAAAGATAAAGAAGAGTCAGGCCAGGAGACATAATGTGAAACAACGAAAATAATGAGAAGCAATTATACTTTTTGAAATTATTATATTTTTTCTACTATAGTCTAAGATCCGAGGGAGAGGTTGTCCATCACCCATCTGCGTACCAGACGAAAAGTATGTATTATCTTGTATTTTTTATTAAAAAGACAAATCGCAATTTCGTTGCCTATAGATATGTACTATTTTTAATTCTCCTAATATTACAAATGTGAAATTTTGTATGTTTGTTACTCGATCACGCAAAAACGGCTGAACTGATTAGGATGAAATTTGGTTTTAGTTTATCACCTGGATTGAGACATAGGATAACTTTCTTCCCAAAAAAAAATTATGTTCCTGTTTTTGATTCTCATAAAACTACAGTTAAAGCGGGCGAAGTCGCGCGCGACCGCTAGTTAAAAAAAGTTAGTTTTGTTTGTTTACAAATTTGTTGACGTCATAGCATAGACAATCTATAGACTAAAATGGCCGACAGCGTCTTTGTATGTCCATGAAAAATCTGTTTCAAAATTAAAGTTTTGTAGCTTTCAAGGTAAAAAAGAAAAAAAACGGTCTAATAGGGCAATTATTAACCATTTAAAACATATTTCCAAAAAGTGTCCACTAGCCTATTGGTTTTCAATTTATTTGTTTAATTCCTGTATATTTTGTGTTACATGCTTAGGACTCATAGCTAATTGTATAACTAAATAAACATAAAATTAAGTTTTTACCTGCCAATATCATCATTGATTGTGCAACCATTCCCTTTACTGCCATCATTTTCTTTAAATAGACAAGGCAGTAATGATCTGAGCTTATCAACCAGCTGCTGTAACTGTTCGATCAATATATTACTTCTGTCTTCTTCAGAAGCACCTTTGATGATGGCCAGCAAGCAGTGAAAAAGGTTAGAATGTATTTTGGCTGGAATATGTGTAGGATGGATTTCATAATGTTTCTGTAAGCGATATAAACTGCAGAACTCCTGGAAATAATTTTCACATCACAAAAATTTGCTCTTTAAAGCTTAATATTCAAAAAGGGAAGGTGAAAAAAAACAAAAACCCACACCCCAAACTAGCCAAAAAGTATTCGTATCTCCAGCATCTATGGAAGGAGATAGTTTGTTCTTACGTCGGGTAGGGACGCTGCTTAGTTTCCATAGAAACTATGACAATGGCGATACGATTACGGATCTGTCAAAGTTCGTGCTTGGGGTACCTATTACTATTTTTCGAAGACCTATTTAACGAAACCTCATATTATTGGGGTAGACGTAGTATACGTGAAAAATGATTAACATCCGCAATAGGGTATTTGACAGTAAGATTAAAAATAAAGTGCCAATAGGGATGATGACTAATTTTTTTTTCTTCGTTTATCAGGTAGATTATTAAAAAGTATTGGACACGTATTTTTTCTTTTTTTCACATAATATAAACATTGCAGAGATATATTGATTTGAAAAGTTGCATGACGTCACGTTTGAGTACACTTAAAGTGAAAATTCACTCAAAAGTGACGTCACGAGCCCCTACACCCAAACTTTGACGCGCTATAACTTTGTCATTTTTTTGTTGATTGCCCAAAAAAAATATACGTGTCCATTATTTTTTGATCAACTAACTGACGGACTAAATAGAATTTCGTTTACTGTACCCCTTCATCACCCCTATTGTTAGCATCTGTGTTTCCAATATTGGCAGGGGTTTTTACTATTTTTACAAAACAAATATTCATAATTTTACTAAAAACCCACGAAAAAGATAATAGTTTTCTTATCTATTGCCACGTGACTCAAAACGCATGGGATTGGCGGAGCCTAAAATGACGTCACACGCAAGTAAACTTCCGGTTAAAGTAACATTACATTGTATCGTTTGACGTTTTAATAACAGTCGTGTGACGTCACACACTAGTAAGACGCCATATTGTCCAGAAAAACGTTTTCGCGGTAACTTGAAAATGAGTTTTCGATTTAGTTATTTTTACTGAAATACACAACAGAATGATGTATATCCACATTTTATGGACTCCATAAACATTAGTCAATAACGTGAGATCGTTTTCTAACTTGTCAAATACCCTATTTACGTGCAGGTTAGCTATATTAAAAAAAATGGTTTATTTACTCTTTTGCCTTGGTTATTTTATGTGTATATGTCAACGGCAATCTGTGTCATTATATAGAATGCCTGGGCCGTTTAGGCAATGTATGAATTATTATAAATCTTATTTCCCATTTCACACTTTGCCTAGGTAATGTTTACGCACTACTTATCATGCTAAGTCTTGTTGACTTTGACATATCCTGTGAACATGGCGCTTGTTTATTTGTTATGTATTGCTTCATCACAACCACTCTTCCCGTTTCAGATATTCGAATTTCCCACATGTTATTCACACTTTTAAATAATTAAAATTTGCACAAAGAGGATTTTTTAACAAAATATTAATGGAGGATATATTCAAAAGTAATAGATAATTTAATTTTAACAAATTATTTGAGCCTTATTTGAATTACATGCACATTCCTTACTGACTGTGACTAGAGATGTATAAGAGGAGTTCCTAGCTTTTGTAGCACTGGTGTGCAATTATTAACTTAACTCCCTCTAGAAAGCGCACAGTCAAAATGCAATTGTAGCGAGACTCTTGGCTGCCCTGAGACCACTGTGCCTGGGTGAAATACACACTCTGCACTATAGATAAAGCCACCTCTATATATGTATGATATGGTGTTACATTATGAATAAAAGTAACTGTGAATGTTACTACTTACAGTTGAACATTGGAAGCAAGACACTAATGAACCTGCTTTCTTTTTAGGTTTGTGTGTTGTATTTTCAGGTTCCATTTGTTTTGGAGATTTGACTTTTCTACCGCTTCTGGTTACCTTCACCTAAAATAAATAATTAATATATGAATATTAGTTAGTTTCCATAATGTATTAAATTTTAGACTATTTATGGTTTTGAAATTGAAAAAGCAAATTATTGAATCATCAGAAAAGAATAAATTACTTCAACAGGTGGGTATGATTCTTCATCAAGTATTTCTTCTTTTATTGGCAACTGCTCAAGCTTCAATTCTTTTTTCTGAACTATTTTTAATTCCATTTTTACTTCATCTTTTCTGTTATTGATTACAATTTTGTTTTTGCCAACTGCGTTTATCTCTTTGGGTGATACAACTCTGTAAAAAATTAGAAGTTAATAAAAAAAACATGTTTAATCACTACTATACTCAAGAGAATCAGACATATTATACATTGACACAAAAGTTAAAACATCAATAAATTAATTTATTTTTAAGGTTTCCTGAAGTCTCATATTCTCTTGGTTTTGCAAAGTAAAAAAAAATTATGGCAATTATGATTTCTGACAGTCATTGCTCATTTTGATATTGTACAATTGTACATGGTATAACACTAAGCTCTTTTTATTTGCACTGCAGAAATGGCAGTATGCAATATTTTTATATTGCCCAACAGGATAAAGAAATTATACTTACTTATAAATGAAGCGAGTATTTGTTATTGGATCATATGTCGCGTCCGACTTTGCAGTTTTATTGGGATTATTAAATATCTTCAAAGCTTGATTTACCATTTTCATTTGTTCATCACTTAATTGGTTGAGACTAAAAGAAAATATGATATAAAATATCCAAGAGTAACTTATTAAAACACTAAAATATAAACATGAGTTTGTACCTGTGGTATGTCTCACCAAGCTTGAGTAATTGCACAGAGGTATGTTTGATAGGATTAGAAATTGAAGATCTGAAATATATAACAGTTGCTTTAAATGGATGTCTGCTTTTTTATTTAAAACTGTATAGAATTTTAAGAGATACTTACTTTTCTTTGGGTTTATTATTCTTTGTCACTAGTTTGTTTTGTTTGGGTTTCAGTTCACTAGGAAAGTTTTTGATTTTCACAATTTTCCCGTCTACAGCTTTCGGAACGGTATTCACAACATTTACAGGGATCAAAGAATGTTTTAAGACATTGTTTGTAGTGAAGCATTGTTTACTGAGGTTATCTTGCAAATTACTCTCGACTGATTTTGGTACAAGAAAATTAGCTAGCTTCAAATTGTTTCCTACTGATTTGATTTCTTGTTTTTTTAGTATTCTAGGCTTCGAAATTTTCGGGATATTGTTGTCAAAGATGCCGCTATTTTCGTAGAATCTTTTCAGGTTATTAGTTAGTGGTTTTGCCTCTTCTATTTTTCCTTGAGCAACTATATACGATTGTCCCTGTAGATAAAAAATATATTTTATTTATCGGATCTCAATTAATTACACAAAAAATTATAGATTTGACATTTTATAAACATAAACAGTCATTAACCTGAATGGCGCCAGTATTCTGCGCCAAATAAACAGGAGTGTATTGACACGAATTAATTAAATAATTGTTCTGGTTTGTATTCATAATTGTATTGATTAATGATTAAATAATTTTAATTCATCAGAACGGCTTTCAGTTATGATAAAAAAAATATATACTAAAAAATAATTGTGCAGCTTCCCATGTCTTTTTTCGGAGCTCAAATGCCAAAACACAAAATGTGACAATCTTTTTTTTTTGGTTAAGTTCTCCCTTTGAAGAGAAGGCAAGGGGAACAATGCCCATATAGCCTAGTCTTAAGTTAAACTATTCTGTTTTTCTTTTTACATTAGAATGTCGGTGTGACGCATTCTAATGTTACTTGAAGTGTTTGCCACGAAATGTATCGAGCTGGCTTTTTCGATAAGCTTCTGTGAGGTAGTCAATACTACAATAAAATTCTCAAGTCCACTTGACCGGAATAGCGTATATTTTGACGATTCTACTAATTCTTCAGTTACGCAGACAGTTGTAACACAAAATCACACCAATTTTATTTCACAATATCCACTATGAACGAATTTAAAAAAAAAAAATAAGGCCAACCACACTTGATAAAATCCCGCCAAAAAAAACCTTTTTTTCATTTATTGAGCTTTGGCTCCAGGGCCATTAGCAAAAGAGAATTAGGTACTACTCACAATCACAAACAAACAACCCGTTGCAGCCACAGACAAAAAAACAACCCATAGTCGTAGGGTACGGCCAGAGTGCACTCAGATTCAGATTCAGACTCCGAAAACAAGCGCGAGCGAGAAAACAGTGTAGTTAAAGCAGGGTGGCCATAGTGGCCGCAGGCAACCTGCATAAACTACACTGTATATTTCTCGCGCTTGTTTTCTGAGTCTGAGTCTGAATCTGAATCTGACTGCACTCTGGCCGTACCCGTAGAGAGAGAATAGTGAAGAAGTACTTATGTACAGACACACAGACAAAGATTAAACTAGTGGTGTACGTGCATTGATTATCAATAATATATAAATAGATTTTTCAAATATTACACGTGTATAGCGCCGTCCCGCTTCGTGTCATGTAGTGCGTCCAGGACCTTAACTTGACAACGGTGGTGTCGATTCTGACATGATTCTCTAAACCTAAACTTAAATTTGGCTGTAGTGTATCCTTGTCCTTCTTTATACAGAAATTTAATCACAGACATATAACTAGTAGCAGACGGAATATTCAGTTTTAAACAGCGTGGCAAATACACACACATTGAAACTCACCAAAGCATGGGCCACATTTAGTATTGTAGTTATTTCATGAAATGCCTATCCGAATAGATAGGTCCTAATGTGATGTCCATGCTAATAATATTATAAATGTAAAAATCTGTCTGTTTAATATCTTCATGGCGAATTTAGCCAGGCGAAATCGCTGAACCGATAATGATGAAATTTAGCACGGAGATAAATTTAACACAGGGAAAGGACATAGGTACAATTAGGAAAATTGAAATAAAAGTTTAAGGCATAGTTTTTATCTATTTATTTTGAAATAATACAAGTTTTTTTAGAAAATTTCTCTGAGATACATTTGTTTCTTTACATTGATGTTTACATCTAAGATCAAAATAAAATTTGACAACAACTTTAATAAACAAGTGAACATGGTTTACGTCATGATCTGGATTGTTCGAGTCAAATAGTGAATAATCGACATAATCACATTTAATCAAACTATTAAAATCATTACTTTTGTTTATTTTAAAACAAAAAACACTTAAAACACTATAAGTATTTGGTTGCCAATCCTGACGTTTCATATATTTTAACCATGCATTCCGAGTACTTTTATCCTTTGGAAACCTAGAACAAAATTGTTTATGTGGTTATTTGGGTTATATACCTACCGATGCCAATGTTCCAAGAAATATGAATAGCTAGTCAGTAATAGGTACCTATCTATTTACGTTCTTGATTGCATTCACATTCAAAATATAATGCAATGCAAACAAAATTAACGCCGAGAAACTTTTTGTCTTTGATACCGAGTCCGTCCTCTGTTATGGCAATAGTACTTCAGTTGTCAGAATTGGAATTTCCTATCATGATTTATCCTGATTACTTCCATTTCTTTACTTTAAGGATATTAGTTTTGACCGATAGTATCTTAGATAAATAATCCTACGTAAAAAATGTTACATGTTACGATAATATTTAAATAGGCTTCGAAAAGACTCAAAGACATTTCAGTACACAACAAAGACACATAAAAACTTACTGATGAAACGTTAATCCTGGTGTTCTATTGTAGGTAGCACTTTCACATCGATACGCACTGTACTTGACCATAGTAATTGAATAATCTCGTTTTGTAATACAGTTTCATCAAAGCAATATTCTTAATAAACACCGAAAAGTCGCATGTCCGATAAGTCATGAATAAAATGGCGGCGAGGAATAAAAATGACACACGTTGACATTTGTTGATGTGTGAGTCATTGTTGCAATAGATGGAAGAATGAGATGCCACTATCGAGTTGTAGCTGAGTGTAAAAAGGATAAAAGATCATGTTTTGATTCATAAATATAACTAGGTTTTATGTTACGTCTGCTATAGTATTATATGTCTGTGAATTTAATTTAAGTTTAGCTTTAGAGAATCATGCCAGAATCGACATCATTGAGTTGCGAAAATCATGCCAGAATCAACAACATTTCTTCTTTTCAGAATATGTTAAGGACAACCTGCAGTCAAAAGGACAAAAAGCAACCACAATCTTTAGACATAATCTTAGTAATCTGTGAACCACAAAAAGCCATGTGAAATGCCTTTGGCCAGCGAAGAAATGTTAGTGAAAAAGTAAAGCCCAATTTTTTGATTTTAGGATTTACTATTTTAAGGTTTGGTTACCCTACAAGCCAATAGTGTAGGACAAAATATCCCTGTATTGGCTTCTCGCTCTGTTCGTTTTTTCGGTAAAATATACCAGTCCATTGATAAAAGAACCGTCTCTTTTTGTAGTTAACTGTGGTTAATAAAAAAAATATTTTGTCTGTGGCTGTATAACCTCTTTTCGAATCATCAAGCTTTGTATCGCAAGGTGAATATCGGAATTTTTGAAAAATACGTGAAATATTATAAAATCCAGGTGTTATCTGTGTTTAATTAACTTCCCAATGTGTGGATTGATTTGTTCATCAGATTAATATCACTGAATTCTTAAATGTTTGTTGAATTGAGTCTCTCAATAGGTCCACGTGTGGCTGATAGCAATAAAGTAATTTTGGTTTTTTACAGGCAACAAGATGACGAACTCTAAGGGTTATCGTCGTGGCACTAGGGACTTGTTCGCCCGCAGGTTCCGCACTCATGGAAACATCCCTTTGTCCACTTACATGAAAGTGTACAAAATTGGCGATATCGTTGATATCAGGGTTGGTACAGTGTTCCTCCAGTAGCGTAGTCTTATAAACCCGAAACCGTCTGATATTTATATAGGTTGCTAGTGCACATCATTAAAATGCCAATAAGTATAGTTCAACTCCTAAATTGCTTATTGTTCCCAAATTTAGAAACTGAAACCTGTCATATTTTTGAACCCTATTGTTTCATTACAACGACCGCTTTGGGCTAGAGTAGATTTCCTACCTTCTTCACTAAAGACTACATGATGTATTACAGTAGGGGCTTTAACATCTTGTTCTCGTGTCTTAATCATATCCAACAATACAATTTCTGCTTGTTTTGTTGGGACTAATTAATTGTTGCATGGAATATATTATAATTTCTGACTTGCCTTCAAATAAACAACAGTTTTTTTAATTTTCAAAAAAAAATTTTGACTGATTTAAACTGTACCAAATGTTTTATTCAAGTATATTTTTGTCTTCTCAGGGAAATGGTGCTGTTCAAAAGGGTATGCCACACAAAGTTTACCATGGCAAGACTGGTCGTGTTTATAATGTCACTGCCCATGCTCTTGGCGTTATTGTAAACAAAAGGGTGCGTGGTAGGATTATTCCCAAACGCATCAACATCCGTATTGAGCATGTCAAGCATTCCAAGTGCAGACAGGACTTCCTCAAGCGTGTCAAGGAGAATGAGCGACTTCTAAAAGAAGCAAAGGCGGCTGGCAAAGTTGTTAAGCTAAAAAGACAGCCTCAACCACCCAAGTCAGCCCACATAGTTAGCGGACTTGAGAAGCCAGTGCTCTTGGCTCCCATCCCATATGAGTTTGTAGCTTAATAACAATAAAAATATTATAAGTGTTTGTTTGTTTCCTTTTTGTAACACCTCTAAAAAGCAAAATCTTAAAGTAATAAATTAGATTGTGACCAAATTGTAACTGATAATGATAAATATGTTTTCATACTGCTTTATCATGAAAAAGTATTAGAGCTAAAAAGTTCAGAATTTTTATTTAAAATGTAGCAGTTAATTGTTTAAATATTTGCCGTTTGTCTGGCTGCTTTCTAATCAGACACAGAAAATAATAAAAAAGGAAAATAAGCCCTCTGCAGCTGGGTTTACTATTTAAAATTTTGAAAAGTCCTGACAAAAAGCCGCACATTTCGATAAGTCTACATTTTAGTCACAAAACGCAAACATCACCCACTTAGTTACAGTGATATTATACGCGTGGTAGCCATAGTATACTCTATGGTGGTAGCAGACTCGCATCGCGAGAGGGGTCTCGTTGTGGATTTTTAAAGATGATTTATATTTTGTTTAAATTAATGAGAACTTAATAAATATTATTTGATGTAACTTAATAAGTAGTTTTACTCATATCCCACCAACGCTCACGCTAGAACACAGATCACTATATATGTAGCAAGCTACGCTAGAATACGCATAGAACATCCTGCGTACTAGGGTATAATATGAGACGGGTAAAATCTAACCATTTGGTAAATACCTTCATTGAGTTCGTAGCGGTAGGTCAACAAGGATGGCAAATCCATCATATGGATATGATGATGCTCTGAGTATTAGGGTTAAGCAGTTGAACTTGTGATGGCTGCGCAACGATAAAAAAAAAAGATTTTTAAAATCCTTGTAGCCACGAGCTGCGAGGGAAAAATATGCCGGCGTACTGTGATGTGTGTGAGGAATGGATGTTCTTTGAGCGAGATTTCGGAGTAGGAGAGGGTGGCTTTCCGCATTCCCTCACGGAGTTGACAGTGGTGGTTGCAAAATGCATGAGGATAAAGTTCGACACCAGGATCCTGGATAAGGCAAATACCATTTCGGAGGACCAGTCTGACAGTGAACATCTCAAGGATGGACGCGATCGACTGTTATAGGGGTGAATGGAGTTTTTGTAAACCTGAAATCAACTTGTGTGATCGAATACGGAGACCCAAGAAGAGACCTGATCGTCACTTCCATCCCTGTTTCCACGCCACCACAAAATCAACCTAAAAACTGAATGAGATACTGTAACCGCTGATCGGAGAAGAGATAACTGGATGAGTACAGGTCGCGACACATAAGTCTAGCGCTGAACTAAACGCGGAGGGGCTAGCTGCGCATGGGTACGACAGGAGAGCCAATCCACGGTAATATTATCTATACAGTATTGTGATGTGACTCGGCCTTGTCCTTGAAATAACTGCCTACGGCCGAGCGGGGCGTATTGACGCGGTAGGGCTGCCCGCCTACAGTATTTTAATTTCATCTACATAATTGAGTTTCTTTCTAGTTTTGTGATTGTAAATATTTTATTTCATATGTAAAAAAATGTTGTGAATGAATTAAAAAGTGTTACATAAAATACATGTTATATTAAGTGTAATATTTAATAAAAAAAAATAGATTTAAGACAGAAAAATATTTACGCCTCGACTGAGACTTACGAAAAGCTTTATTATGAAATTTAATAGTATATTTAATACGCATTCGTATAAAAAGTTTGATTATTGAAGAGTTCAAGCAACCAAAAACAGCACAATATCGACTATTGCTCTTTGCCATATTAAATTATGTAGGTATCTTCTTAATTCAATCAAATATTCACAACACAAACGTTTAAGCACGGCTAACTGCTGAAAAAACAATTCACACCGTTCGATCGTCACTGCGGCGTATTCGCGACTGGATGCCCACCGGGTGCCGCGCGAACTCGAGTAGCATAGGTATGACACGCTTTCCGAGCGTTTGTATGAAGGTAGAATACTGTATAGATAATATTACCGAGGCCAATCGGCGCAACGCACGCCCACCCGCGCACCTCGTTTCCCCCCAACACATCTTAATCTTTACTTCTGCGCAATAACGGTCAGCGCTAAAGTATCATGCCGCGACTTATATCAGTTGTCCTTCATCGATAATCTCTTATCTATTAGACAAGTCCGTCCGTCCGTCCGTGGTGCTGTTTCAGCGGCCAAACCGTAAGAGATAGATAAAGAGAATATTTAAGTAATAAGTTAAGAATAGTCTGATAAGACTACAAACCGGATTTGAGTAACGTAGCACTTCCGGTTTTCGAGAAATCACGAATTTCAAACGAAACCACACAAAATCTCCGAAGTTCTCAATTAATTAAATACATTTTTTTTTAAAATCAGGTTTTGGTGAACGTTTGGTTCACTGGTTTGCTAGTATAACATAACTAAAATTAATGTATTTAATTAATTGAGAACTTCGGAGATTTTGTTTGGTTTCGTTTGAAATAGAAATCACGTGATTTCTCGAAAACCGAAAGTGCTACGTTACTCACATCCGGTTTGTAGTCTTATCAGACTATTCTTAACTTATAAACATTCTCTATATCTATCTCTTACGGTTTGGCCGCTGAAACAGCACCACGGACGGATGGACGGACTTGTCTATTAGATAAGAGATACAGCTCGTTTTTATCATTATGCTCAACTGTCAAATTACTATATGGACTTTGATAGTTTAACGTGATATAATGTAAATTGTGTTGCTCATTCCCCCGTAGCGTGATACGCGACCCGAAAGGGAAGACTTATAACAATCCTTCTATTCAAATCGTTCTGGCAATTTTTGCGGAGTGGAATGTGTGTTGTTCTGCATACATAGCTAAATAAAAATAACGCATAAAACGTAATTCACCGCTAAATCTCTCGTAGGCATATACTTTGACAGAGAGGTAAGCTGCATAGGGCTACTTCCTCCTGGTCGCGTCCGTGTTGCTCTATGCACGTAAAGGAGAGAATACATATAGGTCAGTTCAACAAATAAATTTCGATATTATCAGAAAGATCACAACTGTTTATTTTGAAATGAATTGTATTTACAGTTGAATGAATTCTAAAAGTTGAATAATAATTAAGGATTTAAAAAAAATCAATAATAATAATGCCTTTTTAACTTTAACAAATGTGGCATTATAATTTAACATGATCTATCATAGTGACTATTTTATATAAATATTATAAATTACTATATATTATAATAGTTAATGCAAACATTTAACAACTAGCATCTCTCGACTGATAAAATAGTATGTAACCAGTTTCAGATGACTTTTGTATGTCTGAAGTTAGGCCGTAGAAGTCTTCTATTGCAGAGGCATCAATTTTCTGAAAACAAAAAGACATTACCTGTTAATTTCATTTGAAAAAAAAAATAATACAATTTAATGTAGTGTTGTGAAATGTTAACTGAAATCAATGATTCCTTTGACTTAATAAACAGGCGGGCGTCTTTAATTCGAGCGTAAAATCTCACACTATTTATGGATAAGCAGTTAAAAACGAATTGTACTAATAATTAAATATTTGATGGCAAAGGAACCCCTCGACCTCACCTCACACACACCTAGGGTTGCCAACTCTCGAAAGGACCAACCGGGAGAATTGTATGTTTAAGGAATTAATAGGCGGGCGGGGGGGGGGGGGGGGGGGGGGGATCGGACTAAAAGAAAATCATTAATTAATTTTTTTTATTTTGTTTTCGAGCAGCAGCTAATATTTGTCTATTTTTCACCACAAAATCATAAAAGTTTTTACATGAAAATTCGAAGTTTGTTAATACTTGTAACTATGCTTTTACTAAAGAAATACTCATTCTACTTTTTTATTTTTCTCAAATTACTTATTAGGTACCTCCCGTTAGCGCAACACGCATTGTACTGAATGATTTATCTAATTAGACTGAGAACAAGAGACAAACGTGCGACATACTCGGCAAGCCGCGGGGGGAAGTAACGCGTCGGCGAGACGAACAGGTTTAGACCGGCAGCGGAGCAGCGCGAGATGTTGTGGCGATAGCGATGGCTGCATTAAATTTTTAGAAAAACCGGAGAAATTATTGTTCTCCCGGAAGTCGGGAGGTTAACTTTTATTCCCGGAGTCTCCCGGGCAATCGGAGGGTTGGGAACCCTACACACACCGCGTCGTTGAGCTAACGTGATATGACGTCACAGGTTTTCATGTGTGCTGCCGGTGTTCATCGATTTATAAGACTATTTGTTTATTTATTTATTCATTGCATATCACATTCTAAACAAATTATACTAAAAAAATATCACGTCAAAAAAAAATATGCACTCACATCCACCATGTCATCGTCGAAGAGCAGCCAGAAGCCGTGGCTCTTGACGATGCTGATGTAGTGGCCGCGGTTGGGGCCCGAGCCGCAGTGCACCACCACCGCCACCAGGTCGTACAGCCGGTCCGGGTTCACGGCGTCGTCAGACTGCTCGACCATACCATATTTATGTGTTAAAAACACGAAACGGATACAAATGAATCAAAAAAGAAACAAATAAAACGATGCCACTGCTAGAACCTTAGATTACAACACAAAGGGAAGATACGGCACTCGCGGCTCAAAAGTGATCCGCTTAAATTGTGGTGCATGACCATAATTCGCTTTAGTCACAATTGGACATTCAAACACGCTGCATGTACACGATGCTTTTATAAAGAACACAAATAGTTCAAAATCAAATGCCCCGGCAACGCTTTTCATTCGTAAAACTGTGAAAACACTTTCTCATAAATCACGGTTTGTCGTGAATATTATTTATTACGTAATCGCCATTTTGTAAGCAAGAAAAGGATATCAATACGCTGCGTTGAAGTGTATAGTTCTGTCTCGCTCGCTCGATTGATGTTTATATACAGACGTGTGCTGGGCGTGAGTTTCTTCTGTAGATGAGTCGGATCATATTTTATTTGATGCTAGTATGAGCGTACCGTATCTACCCTTTTTGATGTGTAACATCTTTCCTCTAACTTTCCTGCAATTTGTGGGAGTGATTTCGTGAAATGAGAACGAAGTGTGTAACAGGAAGTCGCGAAAGCGCGCGCTATTTGATTTTATTTTAGTACATAATGTTTAAACGGCTTATTCCTTTTGTAGTAGGTTTTATTTCTCTTTTTACTAATATAATGAGCTTTCAAATGTTACACATCATACGCGACTACTAAAAGGTTCGCGAGGTTTTTTTTTAAATCTAAGGCTAGAATAGAACGCACCAAACACGCAAGTGTGGTTACCAAAGCAAATACGAAGACAAAAGTAGACTCTTTTATCTTTGTAAACAGTCTTTTACAAAGTTTGAACAAGGCAATTTGATAAAAACTTAATATTCAATACGCAAATTGAAATACGCTTTGATTTCGTATTTGCAATGGTGCCAGGCATTGTGTATTCCGTGCGCTCCATCTGCCCTTTGTTCTGAAATCTGAAACCAACACCATGTAATTAGTTTGTTCCTACTAACACATTATGGATCGAAGTTGGCCGAAATAAAAAGGTTTTATTTTATTTATTTTAAAAATGGTCTACTAAAGGCTGATTTACACTTCGGTAAGTACTGCAGCGAGTTTAAAAATAGAACAGTTAAGCAGTGTGTACTTGATTGGCAAATCCCTGTTTAAATAATGATAACAGCTTAACTCACCAAGTCCGTAAGTTAAATTACTACTGTACTTACCATAGTGTAAATCAGCCTAAAGTATGTGTACATAGTAGCATGCTTGAGAAAGAAACCTATTGAACAACAAATAGTAATAAAAATATAAAGGAGAGAAAAGATATATTATATCCAGATACAATCTGTTTCTAATAACACTATCTGACCAGTAGGCTTATTCGCTAACTATTTCGACATAAAAAAGTGTGTAACTTAAGAGCAAATTACATATTCACTGATGCTTTTCGGACAAGTATCTTAGTGGCGTCATAATGGATCAGTAAATAGCTAGATTAACACTTCCATCTATTAAATAAGAAACATAGAAACAGTGCACTGAACCTTTTTGGATGTTAAATTGCTACTGTGTCAGTATTCGTTGTCAGTAGGTGCCATTTGAGTGGTGGCGTATTATATGGGTATATACGCAAATTAAATTTGAAGGGATTGGAGTCCTAATATTTTTGTTTGTAGACAGCAAATTAGGATCCTCCTCAACCAATACTAAATATGACGTCATGTGCAGTATGGGTATGGCAATAAACAACATACATTATATAATACGAGGTAAATAGTGATCTTGTATGCTTTGATATGAGATTTGAACAATGTCGACTGTTTGTGTACATGACACAAACATTATCAGTAAATAAATGTCCAGTCCACAAAGGATCGACTAAGAAAGTACAGCTTCATTATTCCATCACAAAGTGTACGAAATTTCTATGTACCTTGTATCATGTATAGAGACTGCTAAAACTCAAATGTTTGAATTCTAATATGTTTGGCAACTTTATGCTAAGGCATGTTTGATTCTCCATCAATCACAATTATTGTTTTGATTACTGCCATTTCTCTTAAGTTTTAATAAAAACTAAATAGATATATAATATTTTTGACATGCATGCGGCCTACTTACAGTGTTAAACAGTCTCAATTCTAGTGGGAAGACTACACGATGTGACACTTTGATATGCCTATTATACTGTTCCATGTATTTGAAGCGTTTCAAATGTAACGCCAAGATCAACGGTAGTTTCTTAACACGCATACGCTTTTGGGCCTCCTGGTAGCTGCTACAATGATCACACTTAAATTTGTTGTCATTGCATAGAGTCTCTGTATCACTAAAGCACTTCAGACAGTGGGTGATACTTGTATTCTGTCCAACATCCACCTGTATTATAAAAAAAACAAAGTAAAGAATATTATATCAAAAATATGTCAATAGTAATGAGTGTGGAGACAACAAGTTTTTTACACTGGATTTAGATGCTTAACCAGACAAATAACCAAACCATGGATTCAAGGGGAAAAAATTGCATTAAGAGGGGAGGCCGGCAAAGTTTTTTCCATACAAACATTCTCCACCAATTCCTCCTTGATTTTTATCATTAAAGAATTAATTTTCATACATAAAATAAAATCTTAATCATTCTATGCTCCTATGTTTTGCTTTTTCCGGTAACTTGTGTTTTAAAGAAACTAGAAGGCCTCAAAAAAGGACAAAAATAAACAAATTTTAATCACCACTTGAGATATCTTGTGTCGAGATTAAATAAGCATTTACAAAAAAATCAAAACATAGAGGCATAGTCATATTATCCTTTGTGTAAAAATTCTTTTACATATATCTAATTTTCGAGCAGGAAATTGTCGTGAGCCAAACCTCGAATTTTGCAATTTTTATATGCAATTTTCAGCATTAAGTACTGTCGCGCCTATCGCATGGTATTTTCCAATGCGTGACAGGAGTTTTTCCAAAAACTTATTTCTCATGTCTCTCAGCTCGCGTCTGCTCAAAAGTGCACAACACACTGACAGTGGTCAATGAAGCCAGGAAAAACTAATCTCATTAATAGCATCAAAATTTTGTTATAGGGACTGTTTAAAAAAAGATCTCAGTCCCCATAGCATGAGCATCACAATCTAAATTATATCACTTTTTATTGCATATAACTGTCAAACTCCATAATAATTTGACAATTTAGCATGATAAAAATGCTTTATATGCTCATGCTAGGGGGGCAGGTAGTGTTTATTTTGGTAACTATCACATGAAAATAACCCAATAAAGAAGCCATTTGAGTGGTGGCTTTTAATTTGCAGGACAAGATTTAAGAGTGAATACAAATATGCACATCTACACAGTGTTTATATTTGTTAACACTTATAATTTTTATTATTTTAAAGCATGTAACTGCTTGATGTTTAAATCTAAATAAAATATATCTAGAAAAAAATCCACGCGGACCAGGCAGCAGACGGGATTCGAACCCACACCTTTCACAATCCAGGCAAATGCACTGACCAATTATGCTACCGCGGCCCTCACGGACCTCGTCGAAATTCTTCTAGAAAGAATGGAATTATTTCTAGTTTTCTTTAGATTAGTTAACACTTACCTGTAAATCAAAAAAATGTTCATCCTTGCTGCTCACTGTTTCACAGTTCAAGCACCTAGTTTCGCTAGTAAGAGTTCCCTGAAATATTTCATGAACCCAAGTTGGTTCTGTGTTTTGTGGTAGAGTGCCATTGCAAGTCACATTTTCAGGTGTATTTTTCTGAATTTTTAGTGTACTTTGATTTCTTTCAGCTGTAAGAGACATGTAAAAGAAAAAGTAACAAAATAAATCTTAAAAAGAGTTGACCTTCATTCAAATAAGTTACAGATTCAAGCACCTTTGTTAATTCAATATGCTAAATATAAATTGACTGTTGGAATTTATTCATTTATTTGATACTATAATATTACTTTTTTAATATCAACACAATAACAATTAATTTTAACAAATACACGTTTCTCAAATCAATATAAATTTTATTGCTCAAAATCAATAGGATTATGAATTTTTGTGTTAACCTGTTACCCATTATTATTTATATGAACAGATAATTAATAAATGAATGAATTAATTAATTAACAGATTGATAAATGCTATGAATGTTTAAATAAAAAGAACATGAATATTGTCTTACCTAAAATAATCTCATTAATATGATTTATTAAAAAATTTAGAAATTCATGGGCATCTTGCTGCATATAGTTATCAAACTCCTCTGAAAACATAATAAGTTTTAATCTTACTTATTCATTAATTATTGTAGATTTAACTGGGTGTTTTTTAACTTATAATTTTATTTAACTATCACTATCTTTGCTTTACATTATGTGTTACTACAAATGGATAGTTCACTACCTTTTATGCTTTTAAAAAGTTCTTCATGTTTATTTGTTAAACATTTCATGTTTCATGAATACAATCCAATAAAATAATGTTGTAATTATGTTTACCTTTTTCTTTCCTCAACCTAGCAATGAATTTTTTAGGTGCAATTGAACCTACTTTCTTTTTTTGGGTTGCAATGCTATAAAATAAATCAGCAAGACATGTTAACAGAGTCTCTTTAGTCCTTTTATTTTTAGCTTTATACTCTAAAACTTTCTCTCTAAATGGCCTACAGAAATACAGCGCTTGCAATACGGAGTTGCTATAACATGTATTACCAAACTGAAAAAGAACAACAAATAACGATTATGTGTTACAACTACATTTTATGCATTTGCTAAAAAGATTTTAATTTTACTTACATTGACTAAACCAAAATAATGTTCATTAGGTGGAAACTGTTCCGATCCAATATCTCTTTCCAACTGTGATATGTTTGCGCCCTGAAATGTTCATTAATAAATTAAGTTGGAAACGTCCGATAAAGTTTGGCTTAAAGAACGCCGATCAAACTCAGATTAGATTTAGACATCTGACTGAGCTGAGGGTATTGAGGTTACATGTTGATGTCTACTAAAATGTTTTCACTTGTGAGTTTTCAATTAAGTAGAGATGAAAGATTTTTTTTTAATTAATTAGCAGTAAACAGTAAATTAGTACGTATGCATTTCTCTTACCATTCTCTGTTGGAAATTAAGGCCGAGATCCTGACATATTGACATTTGCAATCTGTTTCTGTTAACTTGTGAACAAGATAAGCGTAAGGATACAGGATGCAGATTTACTGAGTCTTTACAAATATTTCTAGGAACATAATTTTTAATTCAAAATCTGGCTAAATCGCAGCACAACATCTATCAAATTACCACAGCCAAGATAAAGGCACCACAGACAGATTAATTTATAGAACAGACAACAGTAGACGATGTCACAGGCTACATAGAACCACAGAGTATTTAATATTAAAGGATGAACCATGGATGAGTAGGGACACGAAAAAAGTATCGATACTTTGTGGTATCGAGTACTATTCCTTTCGATACCGATACTTTTGTACTCGATACTTTGTATTCGATACTTTTACTAAATGAGTACTTTTTGGCAAGTATCGATACCTTTAAAAATTTGGATAAGCGCCTCATATTGATGGCAACGCCATCTTGTTAAATCATAGCAAACCTTCTAAAACGTTCCATAGGGTATTTGACAAGTTTAAGGCAACGATCTCACGTTATTGACTAATGTTTAAGGAGTCCGTAAAAAGTGGATATTCATAATTCTGTCGCGTATGGGTGCGGCCAGAGATTCTGAAAACAAGCGCGAGAAATAAACAGTGTAGTCTAAGCAGGTTGCCTGCTTTTTCTCGCGCTTTGTTTTCTGAGTCTGAATCTGAATCTGAATCAGGAGTGCACTCTGGCCGTACCCTATTTCAGTAAAAATAACCATATCAAAAACTCCATTTTCAAGTTGCCGCTCATCAGGCCACAGAGGCTCCGATAAGGTCCTATGAAATGTACTCGATACTTTGAAGTATCGATACTTTTGTTTCGATACTTTTACGAGTACGATACTTTTTTACCGATACTACTCATGAGTACAGTATCGATACTTTCTATTCGATATGGTGTCCTTATGGATGAGCTGTTTAAAACGGGCACAGACACGTCAGTTTGTGCCAGTCGCCAGTCTGGTTAGGCCACCGATTATAAGATGCTTACGGATTAGGGGTGCGGCCAGAGTGCACTCAGATTCAGATTCAGATTTTGAAAACAAGCGCGAGAAATAAACAGTGTAGTCGAAGGGTACGGCCAGATTGCACTCCTGATTCAGATTCAGATTCAGACTCAGAAAACAAAGCGCGAGAAAAAGCAGGCAACCTGCTTAGACTACACTGTTTATTTCTCGCGCTTGTTTTCAGAATCTGAATCAGCAGTGTTGCTAAGTTGTAATTTAATTTTACCCTTTACGCAGTCTCAATGGGCCTCTATTGAATAAATAAAAACACATAGATAAAGAATTTCAATATTGCGTGAACACAAGAATAACCAAAATTAAATAAAATTAGTTAGGTGTTAGAGTATATAGTACCTATTTCATCCTGTGACTTCATGCTTTTCATTCTCTACCTACCCTAGAGAGTATAAATTAGCGACGGGAAAATCGGCTTAAATTTATTGAACGTTTAATCGTTGTGATTTTGTTTATAAGCATGCCTATAAAAACGCTTTTCGTTTAAACGCTTTTTTAGTATTTTGCGTATGTAGAGCGCTTTGGAAAACGGTTAAGTATAAAGCTGATGCTTATGTTTTCAACGATAAACGCAATAAAGCGTTGAAAGTTAATAAACATTAATTAAGCAGAACGAAAGTTTTAACATAATCATCTAAAAGGCACGAAACACATAATATTCCTTATCATTTTATTTAATAGTCAATTAAATTCTCTTCATACATCTCGACAAGAGTATTTATAAGAGGTATTTAAAGTAATTTTTATTTACACATAACTTAAAACACTTAATAGTAATTATTTACACAAGTATCTTAAAATTTTTGATTACTGAAGGCAATGTAAGCAGAATAACTTTAATTTAATACCGCAACAAAAGTGCACAATGGTGTCGATTCTAGCATGATTCTCTAAACCTAAACTTAAATTTGACAGCAGTATATCCTTGTCATTCTCTATACAGAATGAAAAGGAGAGACTGATGTCAAATTTAGTTTTAAGTTTAGAGAATCACGCCAGAATTGGCACCAATGCACACAAAAGTGTACTGGGCTCTTGACGTTGATAAGCGTAGTACTGCTTCTCTTCTTAATTAGATTTACCTTTTTACAGTCGCTTACCCTTATTAATAGTAAGCGTAAGCTAAGGAATGCTTTTTTGTCGTTAAGCAGCATAGGTTTTCTTTAATACCGAACTCGAAGTAATTTTATGGTAAAACATAGATGACGTGACAGTCAAAGCATGCATTATTACATAACACAAGTAATTTTGTACAGACAAATAGATACCGGGAGGGACTAAGAATAAAGCATTTTGTTTATCAATTTAAAAGCTTGCTGTTGTGCTTTTATTATGAAGCAGACTTTTTTAGTTACTTATCGTTTAAACGCTCACTTCTAAGCATAATACAGATACACATACACTGTTGTCAAAAGCTTAGAGAAAGCGTCATGCCCAATCTATAGAGGGCGGAACAGAAAAAACAAGAACGTGGCTCGTGTTTTATTTTTCTTTACCTGAACGTGGTTAAAATTTGCTCTTTGCCTGAATGCTTCGGAAAATTCTGGACCACTTCTTCACTTGACAACTGTTTGTTTTTGATTGGCTGAAATTTTTTCAGTGGAAAACGAAAATCATTGAGGTTTGTTTCGTTCTGTTTTAATCACTGTGACATAGTAATTTTTCTAAGATAATTAATCATTTAAAAGGTGTTATTTACGGAGCGGGGTAAGCTTCAATTTAAATGTTTTGTATTTATGTTGGTATTTAATATTGGGCCGGGTCAGCGGCCGTTTAATGAGGATATCCTGGGATATCCGATTTCCGGCAGTCGTATTTGTTGCTCAGTTCTAACCTGAAGTAACTTTAACTTATTTAATTAAGTTATCACTAGCAATAGTTTCAGCAACATTGTTGAGTTTTAGGCTGAAGAATTTTGATCATTAATTAAAATAAAATTTAATGTTTCTATTTCAGATGTATCTATTTAATTGTAAATTATTTTTACTAAGTGCCTTGCTGGTGTTAGTGGGAACAACAGTTGTACAAGCTGAAAGTGAAGATGCAGATGATGAAGTTACAGTAGAGGTTAGCTTTAGCACCATCAGACCATTATGGTTAAACTACATGCTAGGTGCTTTCATGTTATGTTCACTATTTAAATTGATAATTGTATATATTTTGTAGACTGAAGAAGAGGATAAGTATCAGAGCCCACAGGTCAGCCCGGATAAAGTTTATCTTGCAGAACACTTTGATGATCAAGCAGCATTTAAAAAGAAATGGGTGAAGTCTGAAGCTAAGAAACAGGGTGTAGATGAGAATATAGCTAAATATGATGGAAAGTGGGAAGTGAGTGTGTTTATTGGCATAATATACTATCACAGTTAAATTTTTGATTCAGAGAACCAAATTTTTTATCTCAATCACATGATAGATTTTTTTATGGATATTACATACATACATAAAATGTTTGAAATAAAATTATTATTATTGTTTTGTTTAATGGAAATTGTTATTTGTTAAATAGAAAATAGTTATTAATAGTTGTTCCATAACATAGTTTTAGAAAGTTTTATTAATTTGAAATTTGTAGATTCAAGCACCAATGAAGAAGATTCTTAAAGATGATCTTGGGTTAGTGCTGACTACTGAAGCTAAGCATGCAGCCATCTCAGCACTACTGGATAGACCTTTTGAGTTTAAGGACAAACCATTGATAGTCCAGTACGAAGTCACTATGCAAGTTAGTATTTCTTTTTCATTTACACTGTATATTTCATTATACATTCATAGGCAAGTATTTTCAAAGAATATGTCATTGACAATTTAAAAAAGAATCTCAATACAGTTAAAACAATGACATATTAACAAAAGTAGTTCTGTCACAGTTACAGTAAAATTGTATTTATTATTACATCATGTTAAATGATGTGGAGTCCTGACGTGAAGATAGTTGTCATAGCAGTTTGACCTGCCACCATACCACTTGTAGCAAAAATGAGTGAAATCATCACACCATCTCTTCTTAACATAAATGGGAGGCTCTCCTTAGATATATCACTAAGTAATTTTAATGGGAATTTATTTAAAATGAAAAAACAAGATTAGGAATTAATAAAATCCTATAATGAATATGGTTAGATTGATATACATTCTATGCAAAGAAATTATATAAGGATTATCACATAATATACATTTAAAGCTTAAATAGATGAACAATTTTATTACTTAAGGTAATTTGCTGAGCATGCCCTAATCTATATAACTCAAATCCAGTGATTTGTTGGTAATCTATTACCATTCCATGGAAAATGAAGCAGCAATGTGCCTCATAATGATATTTCCTCTTTCTATCTATAGTAACTATATTTTTGGCCTGCACTCTATGATTGAAAAGCTGTAAAAGCAGCTTACCTTACCTTGTGCAAATATTGCCAATGTATGTAGAACCTAGACAGTCCCATCAACCTTCTAAAAGAATTATTAAATTAAATATGAAAATGTAACATTTTTGAGTATGGCTAACCCAATGTGTTCAAGATAGCTTCTGAGCAATATGGCCAGAGAAATAATTTTACATTAAACAAACAATATCCAAACTGCCTAATCCTTAGAATAAAAATTTACATTGATGTTGTGTGACAATCAATCAATGTGTTATTGTATCCTATTTCAACCATTATTCAAAAGACTTGTGAAAGACTGAATGTAATAAACTTTTCACAATCCAATTATATGCTATAAAAAATTTGTAAATATGCAAAGCTATTATTGGAGTTAGGAAATTTCTAATTGGATTATTTTTCTACACTCATCGTCTATCACTTGAGCGGCTTCATCGGCAGTGGTACCCATCTTCTAGGTGTATTTTTTTTGTGAAAGATCTTCTCGTGTGTCCTCTTCAATAGTTGGATAGCGAATAACCCCCATTGAACCTATATACTAAAGGTAGCGTGTGTTAAACAATTCTCATTGAGAATCATTTGTAGTTGATTGTATTGAAAGAATTTTCGTTTGTAGTTGCTTCAAAAAAAAGTTATAGGACTCTGAAAAATCCGTACCATCCCGTTTCAACCGTACCCAAATTTTCTGATTGATTTTCATCGGAAATCGTTTGTAGCTGATTCTAGTGAAAGAATTTTCGTTTGTAGTTGCTTCAAAAAAAAGTTATGGGACTTTGAAAAATCCGTACCATCCCGTTTCAACCGTACCCAAATTTTCTGATTGATTCTCATCGAGAATCGTTTGTAGTTGATTGTAGTGAAAGAATTTTCGTTTGTAGTTGCTTCAAAAAAAGTTTATGGGGCTTTGAAAAATCCGTACCATCCCGTTTCAACCGTACCCAAATTTTCTGATTGATTTTCATCGGAAATCGTTTGTAGCTGATTCTAGTGAAAGAATTTTCGTTTGTAGTTGCTTCAAAAAAAAGTTATGGGACTTTGAAAAATCCGTACCATCCCGTTTCAACCGTACCCAAATTTTCTGATTGATTCTCATCGAGAATCGTTTGTAGTTGATTGTAGTGAAAGAATTTTCGTTTGTAGTTGCTTCAAAAAAAGTTTATGGGGCTTTGAAAAATCCGTACCATCCCGTTTCAACCGTACCCAAATTTTATGATTGATTCTCATCGAGATTCGTTTGTAGCCGATTGTAGTGAAAGAAAATTAGGTACGGTTGAAACGGGATTATACGGATTTTTCAAAGTCCCAAAAGTTTTTTTTGGAGCAACTACAAACGAAATAATTTTTACTACAATCAACTACATACGAAAGTCTTCAAGAATCGTTAAGAAAAAATTTGATTTTCAAAAGTCGGGTGCTAGGTTCACACAGCTAAAAAATCAGCATTTGCTACAATCATCGAGGTTAAGCAATGATATACGCGGTCATTATTGTATGGGTGTCCAAATATATTTATAGATTTTGTTAACCTTATACTGAGTAATTATAATATCTACCTAAAACCTATAAATTTGTATGAAACTATCAGTGGGCGAATTCGACTCGCACTTTTCCGTCCGGTATTTTTAATTTCTATCGAACCTCCTTGGAAATTTCTCGACTTCGTCTCGCACTTAAATTAGCCTACTCATTTGTAATAACCAAACTTACCGCGCTATTAACATACATTTTGAGAACTTCACGATATACTAATATATATGTATTGCATCTTTGTATATTCAGTATTAATGGCCCAGTCTTTGATTATAAACAACCCTAGATCAAGCAATCCAAATTACCACGCAAAGAAAACGCCTCATGTTACGCACAGTGTGTGCGTGACTCGAATGTCAGATTGTTCGAAAGTAGTCAATGTGTGGGTGTGTGTGTGTTGTGTAGTGACGAGCGTATCTACTATATGTAGTAGATAATTTTTGGGACGCTTCCGTGCTGTTAATACGGTATCTATCTGGGCGTTTATTATATCAAAGGGCGCAGTACGCAGTACAGAACTGTAAAAACGATTTAACGAAAATATCACAAAGACGTAAAAGACGTCAAAACCTGGCGTCAGGCCAAAATTAGTTTCGGAAGTGCAATTTATAGTGTTTATGAGAGAAGACTTGAAAATATTTTATTATGTCAATGAACTTACAAAAAAACAAGCGTGTATGATCGATGGACAATATATTTTATATCAAATCCCTTCTTTATCATCATCAGCCTATTAATGTCCCCACTTCTGGGGCACAGGCCCTTCTTATGGATGCAATAGGGTGATTGGGCTCTGACTCACCACGCGTGCCCGGAGGAGCTCGAGATAGTAAATTTTTGGTCACCCATTCAATGACTGACCACTGCCAAAATTGCTTAAATTCAATTATCACAGCCAAAGCGCTAACCACTTGCGCCATCGAGCTCTTCGATCCTTAGATATTATATTATGGTGTCTAATGTTCTATAGACAATGGTTGATCGAAAGGTAATTGAACCCTTTGTGCGTCAGTTAGACCCGCACTCGGTCGGTTTTCTTTTACTAATTTGATCAGCTGCCATAGACGTTCGACCCTATACAAAGGGCTTAGGTATGGCGGGAGTACTTCACAAGGGTAAAGCTTGCCCTCCTTATAATATTCTGCCGCGCTCGAGTAAATTCCCTGCATTACTAGGGGAGCCCAACTCCCCTAGTAATACAAAAGTGCGCCTTTCTGTTTATCTGGCAAAACTTTTAGCAGTTGTAATCCTTATCGCATAACATCGCCTATTAACCCAAATGATAAGAAATGTAGAAATTTTACTTAGAGAAAATGTTTCTGTATGTAGTTCTCCATGTTATGATAGTTAGATTGGTATCTATTCTTGTAGAATTTTAATATTGTTGTTATTTCATTAGTAGCTGTCACTTAATTAAAATATCTTCGAAGTCCCGAGCTTGATTTCTATGCTTAATAACTTTAGCTTGCTGTTTTTGCAAAATCTAAGTATAAAATATTTAGTTTCCCATATCAAAATTCATTCAAATAATTTCAGCAATTTAGGCGTGAAAACGTGACAGACAGAATAAATTTTGCATTTACGTATAATGACTGTGAAAACGTTTAAAATTATCCAAATCTGCGTGAACCAGCAACCCCAGATGTTGTTTCCTACCATATCTGAATTCTGAACACCGTTCATACAAAATTATGAAACTATCTTCCCGAACTGTGATCTGTAAATTGTTTTAAAAATAGCCATAATAGACATTTGCAGAACACAACACAAGTGCTGTTTTAAACACTTATCGGCTCTAAAGCTGTTAATGGACCTGATTCTGGCACGATTCTCCAAACCATTTTTTTGCGTAATCGTGTCGCACGATGATTGTGGTATGTATAGGTAGAGGACACATTGGACGAACAAAAACTACAGGTAACATGGTCCCCAAAGTGTCACTTAACTGAGATATTTGGAGGTAAAGATCGACATATGACTTTAATTATCGATAATCATTAAAAAAAATAGACTTATTATGTGTCTACAGGCGCCAGATTGTAACCAAATAATCGTTCCCACGTTGATTTTATTTTTAAGCTGTTGATATATTTGTTTATTTATTTTATTAAAACTAATGAATATTTGAATTCATATTGGGTAAAAATCGCTTTCTGACGGGATCGGTAGATAATGCTAAATCAATGACCCACCTCAAATCAATCAGAAAAATAAATGGCCGCTATTTCGAAACAGTAGGGGTTAAATGCCTTATTATGGTGGAATTGTTGATAACATTAATCTTCTTGCTGAACCTTAACGGGTTTGATACCGGTGTCCCGACGGACTATTTTTAATTTCTTATAGTTAAAAATTAAGGTACATTAGTTAAATATCACCTATCATATCATAGGTCAAAGACAGAGCAATAATCTTGTCTCGCGAACTCTGCAGCCATTACTTACTGCCATTACTGTATTAGCAGTGCCTTGTACAATAAATATGTATGTGTACATATAGGAGGGTCAGAATTGCGGCGGTGCATACATCAAGCTCCTGTCTCGAGGCACCAACACGAAGGCCGACCTCCGCAAGTTCTACGACCAAACACCATACACCATCATGTTCGGCCCGGACAAGTGTGGCAACGACAACAAATTACATTTCATCTTCAGACATAAAAATCCTGTAAACGGCACCATAGAAGAGAAGCACTCCAAAAAACCAAGGTATTTTATTTTATGTACTTTTCGAATACTGAAGTGTACCCTTTTGTATAAATATTATTTTTGGGCCCAGTTGGTTGTGGTACACTGGGGGCTACATTAGTATTGATATAGCGTCTACGTAGAACAACGCGGACGTGGCTTGCAAATATCTTATTATACAAATCGTTCTCGCAATATTTGCGGGGGTAAAAGCGCTCACAAGTGCTGTTCTGCATACATACATACAAACGAAACTGTAATTACGGCACCAAAAAATGACATAATACACCGCCAAATTTCGCATACCATATGAACTAACTGGGCTTATACTTTGACAGAGGGAGAGCTGCGTATGGCTATTCCCCCCTGACCGCATCCGTGTTGCTCTATGAGCTGGTTGAGTTAGTTGAAGTTAATCATAATTTTCTATTTCAGTCAGCGATTAGAAGACATTTACAAGGACAAGGAACCCCATCTATACACCCTTATCGTAAGACCTGACAATTCGTTCAGTGTGCTCATTGACGAAAAGGAAGTAAACGCCGGATCGTTGCTGGAAGATTTCACCCCGCCCGTCAACCCGCCGGAGGAGATTGAAGACCCCAATGATAAGAAGCCCGAGGATTGGGATGAGAGAGAAAAGGTTTGCCCTTCCCTTTTTAATTCAAAATTGTGTAACTAAACGCAAGTGTTATGTTTATTTTAGTTGCATTTTAAGTAGCGTTCTTCATTCAACATCACGGATCCAACTCGCGTTTAGATTATGCTCTGCGTCGCGAGTTTCTAAACTTAGTAGGTGTACCAGTACCTTATTGACAGAATTATGTTTAAACAAGAAAATTGCTTAATATTGATATCAATAACTTCTAAATAGATTCTGCTCTGACTTGGTTTTATACTCTATAAAGAATATATAGCTAATACCTCTTTATTGTAGATAATAGACCCCACCGCCACTAAGCCGGAGGACTGGGACGAAGACGCACCTGCGCAAATCGTCGACCCTAACGCCGTCAAGCCCGACGGCTGGCTCGACGACGAGCCCGAGATGATCTCCGGTACGTGATTGTTATGCTATATTCTCATTCATACTAGTATTATTGAGCTATTAAGTAGGTATTTTTTGTTCGGTAATTTTGTTCAGTAAATGTGGATGCCTTTTCTATACATGTAGTGTAAAGCATTTTAAATAAAATTTTTTCTTCACATATAACTAAATAATTTTAATTATTGTACGTGCAGACAGCTACATATTTATTTGTCAAAAACTGTAATTTGTTTTCAATAGATTGTGAATTTTATATCAAGCGAAATAAAGCATTTGGATAAATTTTAGGATTTGGGTGATATGACCTGTGATTTTTTTGCATGTCAATGGCTGATGATGATGAAAGAGTATTAAGATTAGATATTGTATTTTGGTCAGACCCGGACGCGCGCAAGCCTAGCGACTGGGACGAGGAAATGGACGGCGAGTGGGAAGCGCCGCTGGTGGACAACCCCGCGTGTGCCAGCGCGCCCGGCTGCGGGCCCTGGCGCGCCCCAACCATACCCAACCCCGCCTACAAGGTATCACGCGGCACATACGCAGCCCGCCAGCCCAGTGACTGATGCGAGGAGACGGACGGCGCCCGGCTGCGGGCCCTGGCGCGCCCCAACCATACCCAACCCCGCCTACAAGGTATCACGCGGCACATACGCAGCCCGCCAGCCCAGTGACTGATGCGAGGAGACGGACGGCGCCCGGCTGCGGGCCCTGGCGCGCCCCAACCATACCCAACCCCGCCTACAAGGTATCACGCGGCACATACGCAGCCCGCCAGCCCAGTGACTGGTGCGAAGAGACGGACGGCGCCCGGCTGTGGGCCCTGGCGCGCCCCAACCATACCCAACCCCGCCTACAAGGTATCACGCGGCACATACGCAGCCCGCCAGCCCAGTGACTGATGCGAGGAGACGGACGGCGCCCGGCTGCGGGCCCTGGCGCGCCCCAACCATACTAAACGAAACTAATCAATTATTATTTACCAAATATACCTACAACTCCCTAGCGTAAGCATCACGATTCGATAGAGGTAGGTAGTTTTTATCATGCCCAAATATCAAATTACTACGGATTGTTAAACGTGATAAAAACGTGATAATATAATGTAAATTGTTGTGCTCATGCTACGTGGGTCAGAATTTACCATAAATAGGTATAGGAAACAGGATATTTACCTTCAATTTCAATGAATTGTTCAGTTTTTGTTGCCATTTTATATGTGGGCGTTTGCGACAGTTTACAATTGTCCGGCAAAAGATCGCCGATGTGACTGCGCGATACCACAGACTTGTGGGCTCTGTCCTGCAGATTGCGTGCTGAACGCACTTATTAAAATTATCCATATTGCAAATGCTCAGAGGCACAAGCACCAATTTTTGACAGCTCCGTAATCGAATCGCATCGTTAAGGTTTCTAAGAAAACTATGCAGCGCCCCTAACGGACGTAGGAAGAACTAAGAGCAAACTGGCTCCTTCCATACAAAATTTGACAATGACGCGATTACGAATCTGTCAAAGTTCATGCTTGGGCCTCAGATCACCTCTTGTTTGATGGTAGGTAAAAAATTAAATTCTATGTTAATATGACAAGGAAGAAAAAACAAGGAAGAATTCCAGGCGGTCCAGGCTTTATCCTATTAATATGATAGGAAAACATTATTCTTTTTAAGTAAAAGCACAAATTTATATCATTTTATTAATTATTAATTCCGTCTAATGCCTGACCGCCTGGAATTCTTCCTTGTTTTTTTAATATGTATTTTATAGGTTTTCACGCACACCACTCATTAAATAAAACAGTTTTAACGGGTTATATGCAGTGAATTTATTTATTGACATTTCGTATCCTTTTCAGGAATGCGTCGGAATAATGATTCATTATTTCGACGACGCATTCCTGAACCGGAATAATGATTCATTATTCCGACGATGCATTCCTGAAACGGAATAATGAATCATTATTCCGACGACGTATTCCTGAAACGGAATGATTTTTATTCCGACGACGCAGTCCTGAAAAGGAATGCGAAACGTCAGTAAATAAATAAATTCAGTGTATATAACCCGTTAAAACTGTTTTATTTATCTCTTATCTATTAGACAAGTCCGTCCGTCTGTCTGTGGTGCTGTTTCAGCGGCCAAACCGTAAGAGATAGATAAAGAGAATATTTAAGTTATAAGTTAAGAATAGTCTGATAAGACCGGATTTGAGTAACGTAGCACTTCCGGTTTTCGAGAAATCAGGTTTTGATGAACATTTGGTTCACTGGTTTGCTAGTTTTATATAATGTTTGTATTTCGTAGGGCAAATGGCGCGCCCCGTTGATCCCCAACCCGGAGTACAAGGGCAAGTGGTCCCCGCGCCGCATCCCCAACCCACACTACTTCCGAGACGACGCGCCCTTCCGAATGACGCCCGTCGTAAGTAATTGAACTAGTCTTATACGAAATATCAAGACGGAGTCATAAATTTTTTAACTAATTTGATGATTCAGTTTTTTTTAAGATTAATAATGAGTTACTTAGCGTAGGTAAGTGACTTTGTTGGTTGTTTTAATGCGGCCTTTAAAAAATTTCGGCAAAATTTTTATCGCGTATCTCGGCATTGCAAAGTAATAGTTTCAACACTAAACTCTGTAATTGTCGTGCGTATCGCTCAGCGTTACATTGAACACTAAGTGACGGGAAAAGACTTAAGAAGAGTCAAGCAGTTGGCTCATATTTTTTTCAACGTTATCTTCACTGCCACGCTCTGTCTAGGAGTAAATACTCAAAGTATATAAGTAAGGTTCGAGTTATGTACAAGGGCAATATTCCGCGATGACATGCCTACCGGAATGACGCCCGTCATAAGTAACTGTATTAGTGTTTATACGGATGAACCTTGTTACAAATAAATTTGTAACAAGGTGGGCGATTTAAACAACGTTTCAGTGATATTAAATGCATCGCATAAGCATTCCAATGTAAAAAATGGAAACCAATTAAAAATACTGAATGTACGGTGTAGGTTGTATTTGAATGACTGTATGGAGTATTCTTTGCCTTCCCAGAAAGGTAAAATGAAACAAAAAATGTATTATTACGTTTAATATACGAAATTTGTGTGTGTAGCATGCCATAGGGTTCGAGCTGTGGTCGATGTCGCCGCGCCTGTTGTTCGACAACGTGCTGGTGACGGACGACGAGCACGTGGCGGCCACGTGGGCGCAACACACCTTCCACCTCAAGCGGGCCAAGATCGCCAAGGACTCGGTGAGACTGACCATACTATTTATTGATGTGTAACATCTTTCCTCTCTCTTTCGTGCAATTTATGCGAGTGATTACGTGAAGTGGGACGGAAGTGTGTAACAGGAAGATTGGGAAGCGCGCGCTATTTGATTTGATTTTAGAACATAATGTTAAAATGGCTTTTTCCTTTTGTAGTAGGTTTTATTTCTTTTTTTTACTAATATAAGGTGAGGTTTCAAATGTTACAAATCATTTGCGATACTGTAAGGCTACGTTTTTTTTTTCGGGACACTTAACAACTATAACACTGAGGGCCGTTCACAAGTTTCCACTGATAGCATAAAATAGCTTATTGCTCAATAAAATTTCAAAGAGTAAAGACGGATTTGACGTAAACTCATTTTACAACATAGATATATTCTCATCATTTAAGAAGTTTCGTGTCAGTAACTGCTTGAGCTGAGTTACAGTTGTATTGTACTGTTAACAACACCGTTCAATAATAATAATAATAATGAATTATATGTAGATAACAATTATGGCAGGTTCCTAGTCGGATGGTGTGATGTCTCAGTCCATAGCAACCTAACAACAAAAGAAACAAGTCCACAGTTTCTTTGATAGTTCTCTGTATATGTATTTTCACGTCACAACCGCGCTCGCATTTGAGATATTCAAATTTCTCACGAGCTTTCACACATTTCAAAAATTTATTTCTCGCTCAAAAAGAAATTTTATAAATTATTGATGAAGGACAATTCAAAACTAATAGAGTCTATATAAAAAAGTCAACCCTAATTGAATTACATGCAAATTCCAAATTGATTACTGTTTTAAATTAAAAGTAGCCACTTTTTTTATGCGTTCGCAATTTGCGTGCCATGAACTACTAGCCCGGTTACCGCACGGAATACGCGGCCTACTGTCTGTAAAGGTGTAAAGATATCAAACGGGCTTTTAACAGGCGAACTTTATTTTGCCGCGGTAAAATTTACTAACTACCTAATTTACTCAGGGATAATGTAACATCCTAACGGTGAAATTTTTTTTTTAAATCGGTATTGAGTTTATCCGTTAAAAACATACAAAAATACAAAACTTTCCTCTTATGCCGGAACTTCACTTGGCTATTCGGGCTAGCTATATGTAAACCTGACATCAGTCCGTCCTTTCCATTCCTTATATAAAGCAGACTGTTGTCAAGTTTACAAATAACAAATGTGAATAGCTAAGTAAAGTGCCGGTATAACACTTACAATATTAGTATAGGTCAACGATATTAAATACCCTAGATACACCAATATGAACAAAATCGTGCTCGAAACATGTCAAAAAGGTACATCGGACGTTCCACGGAGCTCCGTAAGATGATCGCGTTGTCAAAAACAATATAAGCCATTATTTAAACATTGAAAGTCACCTTTAATACATGCTGTATAAGGTCTTAATTAAAACGCATGCGTGAAAGAGTTATGACAGTTCGAAATGCAAGCTCGTAAAATTTTACGACTTATTGCTATATGCGTAAGAATATAGACTTTATTTCTTTGACTCTACGCGCAATTCTGAATGCGCTGTTAGCAATATAGCAGCTATGGACCGCGAGGAAAAGAGACAGCTATATTACCGACCATTAATTTGAATATCACAAATATTTTCTATTAAATCAGTTTATAGTAAGTATTAGAACAAAATTTGCTTCAAATGCGTTTAATTATCAAATATTAATTAGATACTTGACGAAAAACCGACACTTTACACACTATAACTATTTCTTTAGCATTTTTTCACAGAGCTCTGCGGCAACTTGACTTTTCAATTTTAAAGACAGCCAATAAACTAGATTATAATAGGCTGGCAATCTGCCCCGGCTTTGCGCTTACTTACATAAACAGTGACCCGAAATGGATCTTGGCTTTCGACACGAGATGAAGCCATTGTTCCCCAGCTGCACAGATGAACTTTATCGTAACACGGTAAAATACAGCCTAATTTACTCAGGGATAAATTCTAATGTTTGAATAATTTTTGAAATCGGCCCAGTATTTTTATTTAATAAAATACACAGAAATTCAAAACATTCCTCTTTATAATAATATTAGTATTGGTAGATGAAGTAACATTTTAAAATGCTTGTAAAGCAAACGTTATGGGGTCGGATTCTTCGCGCAACGGACCACAAGCCCGGCTACTGGGCGGCGTACGCGGCCTACTGCGCCGTGCCCCTTTCCGCATACATCTACTACCTTTTGCGACACGCCAGAGAGGTCACAATTGTAGAAGGCTAGCCAATAGGAAAACTCATTATTGGTCTACTATTTGTTACGCACAGTAAGCCAATACGCACACACAAACAATGGCACAACACAACACACCGCCAAATTCTGCTAACATGTATCGTTTGTATGCTCTATTCGACAGAGGGTAAAACTGTGTATGCCTACTTCCCTGCTGGTCGCGTCGGCCGTGTTGCTCTATGGTTTGGACCTAAGCATTTACATCTCTTGCTACTATGCTCGAATGTAGTTTACAAAGCATTAAACAGTTTTTGTTGCAAAGGCCGATACCTTTCCTGTTGATTTATACATACACTAAGGTTTTTTCAGAGGTTTCACTTCAACTAATGTTTCTTGATATTATTTGATAAAGACATTGATCATAACAAATTATTATTATCAATTAAGTAGTAAAACAAATTATCATTAAATCACATTTATTGCAAGTAACTAACATATGTATTATTATAATAACAAACACTCGGGAATTATTGCTACCTGAAGGTCGGTCGTCCGTTGTCGAAATAAGAAGTTCAAAAATATTAGGCCTTTATAGTACGGTTTATTTAGCACTTTTTAAAGGAAGTTTTGATGATGTCAATTTGATTCTGTGTATGGACGTACGAATTCAACTGCCCATGTAACGTTGATGCTTGAATTGAAACGGTTCGCTCATATTGCGTTGTATCATCTTATTTAGTCGTTTGGTAATGAATAAATACATAATATTGTTCGTTGAATCGAATGTATTTAAACACTCGTTACGAAAAATGTTTGTTTATACAACAACAAATTTGTGTACTGCAAGGGCTCAACAGTTAAATAATAAGTATTATGAATGTGATGCCAGTTGAACTTAAATCTAGTATACTATAATAAGTATAGTCAGTAAGGAAATTGATTAGACAAAGTTTGAAACTGAATTTGAAACAAGTTTAATTTAAACGTACAACGTCATATTATACGTAACTCGACTTGACTCGATCAATGCAGTGCTTCACACAAGTATCGAAAGTAACGAGTAACGTAACGATGCGATAGGAATAAATAGTAACGAATACAAATGAGTACCAAATATCTCGTTACTTTTACAGCTCTAAAGGACACCAGGTGTCAGGAGGATAGTGCATTTATATCTTCGTTTGTGTAGTAGTTTTCTGTGTGCCGTGTGAGAGTAGTAGCTAGCAGTAGCGCTATTTCCAGGATTCTGTTGTGGAGCGAGCACTGAAATACGCGGGCGACAACCCGTGGGTGTACGCCGTCGTCATACTGGTGGCGTTCCTCTTCGTAGGATTCGTGGCCTACCTGTGCTGCGCGTCTAAGTCGGTAAGTAGTTGTTTGGAAATTGCAATAATTTGCCTGTATAGAAGGCTGTTCATGTCCCAGTTTATATTACTCTGAAAAGAACTATGTCGCATCCTCATCAGCATGATCAGCCTATTAATGTCACCCACTGCAGCGGCACAGGCCTTCCCTATGGATGGAATAGGGAGATTGGGCCATGACTCACCAGAGGGCACAGTGCGGATGGTGGGTGCTAACGCAAGTAGATGCAGCCGAGACCAACGGATTAACGTACCTTCCGAATCAAGGAAGAGCTCGAGATAGTAATTGTTTTTATTTTGGTCACCCATCCAATGACCGACCACTGCGAAAATTACTTAACATCAACGATCGCAGCCGAACGCGCTATCAAGCTACTTAACATGTCGCTTGCTTCTATCTAATGCTGCGCTAAGTGGAAAAGCGCTCAGAACAAATCTGAGCGAGAAAATTTTTACTTTCTCTGTAAATGGAAACATCAGATCGATCGAACGAGTTCTATTAACGAAGTTTGACAGGACCATCTGAACAAATGCTCTCTTGCTCAATCATCAATAGAAACAACGTAACATCTAAGGGACACTTGCTTTGAGTCTTCCATTTACCGAGCGAACGAGTGTTTGCTCGCTCATAACTGTTCCGAGTGTAAGTGGAAACACATTATTATGGTGACCGATCAACATCCTGCCGATCAAGTGGCTTGATCAAATTGGCTTGATTAAGACAAACTGACCGTGTGTGAGGAGACATTTTTGAAGCACATGCCACTTCTCGGAAGAATTTTGTCTTGATCAAGCTTATTTGATTAAGCGGCATGATGGCGAGTTGCACGATTAGACGAATTCTACAGAGAAGCAGTCCGCCTCTGCTCGGCGCGTGCGATTAAAATCCTTTAAATTTTCGTCAAAATAAAAAACAAGGTTTTCTTAATTCTGTCGAAAATTCTGAAATCTTTGTTATGATTGTACAGGCAGTCCTCAACTCACGTCGTTCCGATTTACGTCGTTTCAAGTTACCTCGAACAATGTTTTCACACTATTCCTCAAGCATACGTCTATTGTTTCGATTTCCGGCATAGGAGAAATCACTTGTTGCTAGGTTAATGTCCGTGAGCCGGCGCCCGTGGGTATGTCTCAACTTACGTCGTTTCGATTTACGTCGCGTATTTCGAGAACCTAACATGCCGTAAGTACGAGGACTGCCTGTATTTAAACATGCTAGGGTTGATATGGCGACGTTTTTCTCTCACAGCAGGAACCCGAGACGTCAGCCAAGAAGACTGACGCGGTCACTGAGGACGACCCGCACTCGGACGGCGAGCCAGAAGACGTGGAGCCAGAAGCCGACCAATCGGAACAGCCGCCCGAAGACACTGCCAACGAAGAGGTAATATTCCTATTTGTTTCTTAAGTTTTCACGCACACCAGTCATTAAATGAAACATGCTTAAACGGGTTTGAAAATGCATCTTTTTATTACCTTTTTGACGTTTCGCATCCTTCTCAGACTGCATGGAGGTTACAGAGAAGGAGAACGATAACTGTAGAGAATAGTGTCCCAGAAATATGGGCGACTCGATCGCTACATTGTCTCAATTAAAGCGGACTGTTGTGCGCTAATTTGAAATTTGTACATTATTCAACTTACTCCATTTCATCTACTTGTAGTTATAAACAGCTAACTTCAATGAAACTACTTACCGACGGCAGCGCGGCTGGTGGCTGAAAAATGAACTATAATTCTACAAATTTTCAGGGACAGGCGGGATAATGCTTTTGCACGTAGCGATCGTTCTCCTTCTCTCTAACCTCCATGTGTCGTGTGTGTGTCGTTAGAATTATGATTTTTATTTACTTTTGAAGAGTTACCTTCGAAAGACTTTTATTCAACAAATTGCCCAAAATTTAGACGCTAAAAACAAATGTCTTGCGATTTTTCTGGATCTAGCGCGCGCATTTGATACAGTATCTGTACCTATACTATTACTTAAATTAGAAAACGCTGTTATACGTGGCACACCACTCAAACTATTTCAGTCTTAACTAAAAGAAAGAACACAAGCAGTAAAATAGTATAGGATTAAATTATGGTGTCCCACTAGGCTCCGTGCTCGGTCCAACGCCCTTTCTGGTCTATCTTAACAGTCTGACTATAATGAAATTACAAAATGCAAAAATAGTATCATTTGCTGATGATACTGTTATTTTATTTAATAGGCAGACTTGGGATGTGGTAAGGATGTTGGCTGAAGAGGGTTTTGCACTAGTTTTGAAATGGCTTAAGAGGAATGTCCTTATTCTCAATCTAGATAACACTAAATACATGAAATTCAGTCTTAAGGATAGTGATTAACCTAAATACTTTAGTATTTAAGCATATAATTGCTCTGATTCTTTCAACTGTGTCTGTTCAGCTTTAACGAAAGCTATGAATATGAAATATCTTGGCATTTTAATAGAGAGAAATCTGAATTGGAAACATCAAATAGATGGACTTAGCTGTAAAATACGTAAGCTTATATGTATATTCAAAAAAATAAGAAAAATATTGTATTATACATTGTGTATTATAAAAACTGTGTATTATACATTGTGTCAATCATTAATAAACTATGGCATGACTACTTGGGGAGGTGCTCATTAATCTCATTTAATAAACATTGAGCGAGGGCAAAGATCTAAATTAAAAGTTGCAAATTTTAGACAACCGTGCTTTCCAACTAGAACGATTTACATTGAATTCGAAGTTCTAACAGTCAGACAGCTCTATATTAATACAATTATTTTAAAGTGTCATCGCTTTGTTACTCCTCTAACATCTAATTACACAGTAAGACGTATTCCAGATCTATATAAGATGCTGTCGTGTAAACTAAGTTCTCACGTACATTCTTTTATTAGTTGGGTCCTCGGTTATACATCAAGTTTAGTCGATTTTTTCCGAAACTTCGAAATAACAAATCGTCCCTTTATTGGTAAAACCAATTATCTACCAAAAACTAAAGTTGTGGCAATGATGATTTAAAAGTTTGACAGAAAAAATATGTAACTAAATTTCATATATTTTAACTGCAATCATGTAATTTTAATGAAAAAATTAATAAAGTATGTTTGTAAATCATAAAAATAGTAGTAATTTATTGAAAATGCTTGAAAAAATGCCAAAACCTATCTTTAGGGAGGTCATTTAATTGGTTGTTCCTGAATAACGACATAAGTATATATATCATTAATTAAATCACTTGCAGCTTATCTTATAGCTTCACCGGAATTTTTCCAAGAAAATAATAAGGTACCAAAAATAACTGTAAAAATAACACTCTGAAACATTCTACAAATTGAAATTTAAAAAAATATAATTGGTTTTGCTTGAGTAAAATAAAGAATTGTGGTAAACTATCTGCAAAATGTTCATAGTTATACAACGAACTAGTCAAAACCTGGTCATTGTTATTTTTATAATTATAAAAATACCAAAAAATCATTACTTACATGAAAGTAACAACTGAATAAAGTAGTAAAATAATAAGAATGTTATATTAGGAAATAATCAACTTTATTAGAAATTTTTAATTTTTATCTAATTATTCAAAACAATCTGTTAAAAAATGAATTAATTTAGATTTTCTATCTAAGTACTCATACAAAACAATTTGATTGTCATATTGCATTAAACTAAGAACCTAAAAAAATATAATGTAATAACTAAAACTAAAAACCTTAAATATATAATAACTAAAGTACATTATTAAAAGGAGTCCCTTTAGGCAAGGTTCCAAAGATACTGGCAGCGTTCCCCCTTTGAATAGCTAGACTAATTCTTTGTCCGAGGTACCTGCCACCTCTTCGGTCTCCTGTGACGTCGACTAACGTTTTTGCTATTTCCTTAAAAAGCCCTCCAGCGCTAGGACCCCACGAACCAAGGGTCTCGACACCGAATGGGACAAAATCATATTCGGAGCCTAGACCCCTGTATTTGCAAGCCTTAGCTTTTTCAGCCGCATCGCATTTATTAAATGAATTTGACATGTCATATTTATAGTATATTTTTATGTCTCATTTTATGTACTTTATGCGTTTTTTTTCTCTCTTTATTGGATCACCAACAGTTACTACATCAATACATCTTATTTAATACAATTTTACATTCAGTGATATAATGTGTAACCACTTATAGGCGAACTCAACATGCATTACATTAAGCTTAAGCAGATAATGGTGTCGATTCTGGCGTGATTCTCTAAACTTAAAACTAAATTTAACATCATTCTCTCCTTTTCATTCTTTATAGAGAATGAGAAGGATATACAGTTGTCAAATTTAAGTTTAGGTTTAGAGAATCATGGTAGAATCGTGTGTATGGTGTGTGTTTCTTTAAATATGTTTCAAAATATTTTTATATATTTTTTATGAATTCGGAGGAATATGTAGGAGGATTGTTTCGCAATGAGATCACAGAGTCATGATGTATGTCGACAATGTCACTATATTTGTTTAGAGTATAGGATAATCTCGCAATGGGCGAGTTGAAACCAAGTACCGTTGTTCTTAAGGGTGGACAAAGTTGTGTAATTGGTTTGCGCGGTATTTAAGATGGTGCTCGGAATTTGAAGAGTGCTAGTAGCTGCGAAGAGTCAGTGGTGTTTTATACCAATTTAGATAGAAATATAATATCTAGTAATTCCCGGCTGTCTGTCAAGGACAACATTCCAAAAATCTTAGCCTTTCAGTGTAAGACCCAAGATCCTTAGCTTTGCCAATGCAAAATGCCAAAACTTGCACGAATCTTTTTGTTTCCTTTCTATCCGTCCACATAGGGGAAAAAGTATGGATGATTCAAAAGTGTTGTACCTTGCATCCAATTTGAATAAAGATATTTTGACTTTTATGCGGAGGGGATGGGTGGCATATGTGGTTTAAAGACTACACTACATTATTCCAAGATAGATCTGATGAGACTGTAATATAGTATTATTTTTGTTTTTGGGTTTCGAAATTGTTTGGTACTTCTTATCAAGAATTCCAGTAGTTTAGATTCTCTTTTAATAATATTTATTTATGAGGCACAAATGTCAAATTGTGATCGTAAATAACACCTAAGTCCCTAATTATATCTTTATCTTGAACGAGTGTATCTTCAATACGATAGTCACAATTAATTTTGTTTTTTTTTTTCGTGAAAAGTTAACCACAAAACATTTTGCATTGTTAAGGTTCATCCGGTTTTGATTACACCACACCACAAGCCCATCTAAATCTGACTGCAGTAGTACTGAATCAGCTACTGAATCAATTATTTTCCCAAACTTTAGGTCGTCCGCATACGTAAATTTTATTTTTATCCATTTAACTTCCCGTCCATCTGTGTTTTTGGTTCTATTCAAAATTATTGTATAAGCCAGTTTTTCAAGTCTTTAAATTCATTGTATTTAAATTACTTGACTTGATAACAATTTTTGAAGTGAAACTTCTTTAGGCACGCTTGACTTGGGGGGTGAACTGGCGAATTTGTTACGTTTTGTTTTTATAGATAGGTGACAAATGACACCACCCCACCTGATGTTAAGTGAAGGTGAAGTCCAGTCGCGTTACGATTAGTTTCATCCATAAACAATGACAATACCCGTCACAATATACATGAATCTAGTGCTTGGTGGGTGATAACGGACCCAGCGCAGATTGATGGCTCGGTGACATGACACTCTTATGCTAGGCAATGCTTTTTCACCATAGAAGGGAACGACATATATGTTTGCTAAGAGCTTTTCTGCCAAACATTATGCATTATTCAATTTATACCTAATTAGTCACCTAAAATAAATCCATGCGGCTGAAATAGCAAAAACAGCGATTATGTATGAAACACTACAACCGGCCGGCGATTTTTCCTACAAAAAAGTCAGAGATGTGCGCTCGGAGTGCAAGTGAAACAAAAGATCAAGGGTCGATATTTGGTTTTAGCTGAAAATATTTATGTAGAAATATCACCATACGCTACGATGAAAAACAACAATTTAAGCATAGTTGCTTTTACTTGTATTTTAATCTTAACGATACGATCTCTGATGTTGTGGAAAAAACAAATAAATCTGCTTAATCTCTTTTACTTCAATTAAAATCTGCACAAGTGCGAAGCATTATGTTCTGTTAAAAGCAAGTAGAACTACTTACTCTCTTTTTAATGTGTAAGATTCTAAGTACTTTCCAATAATTCAACAAAACCAGAACCATTTAAAGTATTTTAATTTGTATTAGTACAACGCTACAGTATGCTCAGAGTGTAAGCAAATTGCAACTAAAATAAGATATGAAACGGAATGTGGTTTTGATTGCAAGGCTTCCAAAAAATTGTACAGGTATAAGACTTTAGCTGTTATTGAATGCAGATGTTACTTAAAAGCTCATAATATAGTTGTTTTTTTGCGTATCTTTCTCGGAAACTATGCATCGTATCAAAAAATCGGGTTTACCTGTAGATAGAGCTCAAAAAGTTGAGTAGCTTGGTGTAAATAACTCATTTTTGAAAAAAAGTGCAGATAATCGGTTTTACCAATAAAGGGACGAAATATTTCATATGTAATAAAATAATTACCGGATATTGGCGTCACTTGATTATAGTAGTACTGAGGATTTGTTGAAGGATAAGAAGACAACAATTGAGATAATATTTATCTTTTTACTTTACGTATACTGTACAGTATTAGTATTTCTCAATTTTATCACGACCTGTCGTAAGTTGAATAATGATATGAATCTACCCTATTTTGTTTACTCGGCGATGATCCTACTCTGCCGCAATACAGTTTTGTTACTAAAGCGGAGGGTAGCTGTCAGTCTTTGATGTTGTTATCGCATACCTTACTATAAACTTGGTGTAAAGATTGTAACACTGTTTAACAAATGGTTGTATTCTGTGATGGTGAATAAAAATAAATGTTATTGAACGCCCGGATCTTCGTTGTTATTTGTCATATTGTTAAATAGAAAGTTGCATCTGAAACTTTCTATTTAACAGTATGTGTTCTTTCTATGTTTTTAAATAAGAATTATGTATATCGTTATTTTTACACATTAGAACTGTTTAAAGTACTGACTGTGTTATATTTTTTTATTTTCTAGACGACGCCGCTAGTTGATACGGAAGGCGCAGGCGATGGTCAGAAGAAACGGAAGCCGCGCAAGGAGTAAGGGAGACGGCAATAAGAGTGGGTGAAACAGACGTATTTGTTTATTTTGATGCTGGTAGGTGGATGTGTGTGTGCCTGTAGTAGGTTGTAGAAGTGATATTTTTCTGTTTTCTTCTCTGTCCACTATATATTTATTGTAATAAATTAGTACATTTATTAATATATAAATGGTTAAATTAACTGTGGTTTTGTACTTGCTATTTTCGTGAACGTAATTATTTTATATAAGAATATATCATTTTATATTCTTGGATACAACTGATTAGCCAAATAAAAGACATTGGGAACATTTCGCCCTGCTTATCGAACAGTAGCAGACACAAACGAAATCTATATCAAGGGATAGATACAATTATTTACTTTATCCCTGTGCAATTTTTACTTCTGTATTCTATGGGAATGCTGAGAAAATGAGGTTTTTGTATCAGCGAAGCCTGTAAGGTCCTTATGGACAAAGGCGTAACCACGGGTGTGTTTTAATAAGTGTCTGACACTATGATGTTTTAAAGTTATAGATACGTTATACACGCCCCAATTAGGCAATACGAAAGTCGGGTAATTGCCCGACTTGCATTCTGTTGCGCACGCTCTCTCGCTGCGACTGCAATACGCTACAACCTGTAAATATTTTTTTTTCAGACAAAAAGCCCATGTGTGTTTTTAGATAGTGCGCAAAATACACGCGATCTATTAGAGACAAGAGCAAACTTGTCATTTCATTCTTAACTTGTCTATATATTATAGGTTATTGGTCTGACATTATCCTGCAACCGGCTGTAGGGTATCTATGAGGATTTCATATGCGTCTAAGAGGATACAAAAATAACCTTCATCATCAGCCTATCAATGTCCCCACTGCTGGGGCACAAGCCACAACATACAATTATTGTATGTTGTTCTCGTTATATCTCAATATTCGGCTGGATCACAAAAATGCGTTCAAGGTCAACAACATATCTAGGGGCCTAAAGGTTTCAAAATAAGAAAGAATTTAACTCTGTCTGCTGTGGGGTATTTTTCCATAGTAAAGTTCCCAATGTCCTTTGTCACCCAGTCAAAGATAATGTCAACAATAAACGAATTCACATTATATACTTATGTTTATGGAGTCCATATTTTTTTTTTATAATTCCATATTGTAATTTAGTAAAGCAACCTAGTATTTGGCGTCACACGACTGTCATTAAAACGTCAAGCGATACAATGTAGTGTCACTTTGGCCAGAAGTTCACTAGCGTGTGACGTCATTTTAGGCTTTGCCAAACCCGGGCGTTTTCGGTCGCATGACTGTGGAGCAATTAAATCATTTATACTTAATGATTTTATAGAAAAGTTATTAATTATTTGTTCTTTCAGAAAAGTAAAATCGCTACTAATATTCATATTAAATACACATACCAACATATGGTACATTATTTTTCATACTGTCAAATAGCCTATTATGTACTCATAGAAAAACGTGTCTCTTCTATGTTAACGCATAAGACGCATTATGTTTTATCTTGGGATTGCAAAATCAGGTCTCTGTGTAAATCGGTTGTTTTCTTTTTAATTGGTATTTAATGTTTTATAGTATTATTGAGTACGGGCCTCTTCTTAAATGTGGGAACGTGCCTTGAATAGGTGAAGATGAAACGAGAATGCGAGCCTTATTTTCTTACTATTAGGTAGCATTTACATTTTATTAATAAATATATCTTCTGATGTAATATGATTCTTATGACATTTTCCGCTAACATTGTATGTGATTGTTTTAACAGAACTGCTTTGGCGTGTTCTTTGTCGTAAGGCATTGCCTTTTGTCTGCCGTGTGCAGTAAAAGCGCATTACGTATTTATTAAATTGGCACTTCTTACTAACACGAGGTCTACGAAGTCATCATTGTGTTCAATACGTTGTTTACTAATCGTTATTGATCAGAGCCAGCAAGTTATCGGTGATGCCAGCTTGTGGAAATGCAATATCTAAACATCAATTTTCCTATTCGGTGTTAATGTTATATGCCAATGAGATTGATTCGATTCTCCTCGTGAATTAAGCATCTAGAGAGTGTTCCCAAAGCAGCGCATTGCCAAAGAGCTGTCCCGGTTATATTTACCTATAACGATACATGTGAACAAAATTTAAATGTGTAGCTGGTAATTATCATAATTTTAAGCATTTATTCATTCTAATGACCAGGACGGTTGTATCGAATTATTATATTCTTTTCATAAGTTTCAAGTGATTGACTATATTTACTTAGTATAGACATTTCAATTGTGCTTAGTAAAATTTAAATTGTAACTTTGAAATGTTAAGACTTTATCTTAATCTATTAGTTATACTTTATTAAATTCTGTTATGTAGGTACTTATTTATTTATTATCAATTCGTGTATTTTATCATTTTTCCTTTCTTTTTTATTAAAAATAGTATTTTTTTTCTGATTGAATAAAACCCATTTTGCTATTTGAATCGTAAAACTTTGCTGCAGAACTATACATTCAAGGTCTTTCTTGACAAGATTGCTGTTGTATTGCTTTGTTTACATGAAAATCTAAAGATAATAAAATTGGTGGGCGTTGTATTAGTAGTAAATATTGAAATATTATAGTCGTGCCGTTTTTAATCTAACTTCATACTTATTATCAATTCCTTTTTTTATTCAAACTCAATGATTCAAACTCAATGATTGAAACAATTTTTCAAATCTTACTAAGCAGTTAATTTGTCATTGCTAATATATATATACTTAATGTAATAATTTTAATTATAATGATAACTGTATAAAATGTAGTTAATTGCTATGTACCCTAAGTGTGCCGTAAAGGGTGGTATTCCGTTTTTGTCTTAACGGAACAGTTACATAGGGAGACCAACAATGTTGTATGTAAGAACCTGTCGCTGGTGCCGTTCATAATAATCCTATTCAAAGAAGTATTCAAGAATAGTTATTTTGAAATAAAAAATTGCAATTTTTTGACAAAATTATTGTAGTAAATCATAAAAAACCCTAAAATTTTACTACAATTATTTTTCGTTAAAAAACGATAAGTAGTAAATACATTTTTTTTAAGTTATATTCAATTTAATGAAATTGAATCACAAACGATGTCTATTAAGGAAAATGAAACCAGTCCAAATTATAGTCGTGGAATGGACTAAGGGCCTCCGCTGCCTTAAGCACGAGCACGGAGTGGACGTCCGCTTATGTAGGACCCGCGATTAGGGTAACCATTTAGGAATTTCAAAAGTCCTGCCAAAAATCCTGACATTTCGGAAATAGTCCGGACTATAGTCACAAAATGGTACCATTACTCACTTAGTTACAATGGTATGGTATTTAAATGAATATGTACTTTTATTATTCATATTCAATGTAATTAAAATTTCGGATTTGGATCTAGCCTATACTCTAAAAGCCGGACTTTTAGAATATAGGATGTCCGGACTAATCCGGACGGATGGTAACCCTACCCGCGATGGACTCCCGCCACTCGCAGCGCCACCAGTATAATTTCAATCGCGCGGGTTGTTATCCAGCCAAAAGACGACGCAAACAAAAGCGAAAGCAAAAAAAAGATAGCCAGTCGAGCGTGCTCCTTCGCCCGCGGGGCGGATGTCCTCTCTGCGTATTTATTTCATGTTATTTCATGAACAGCGTGAGGCGGGTTTCCCGTCACAGTCGGTCACAGCGCTGCTCAATGAAATGACAAAACTGCACGTGGAGCGGACGTCCACTCCGTGGACACGCCTAACGCAGCGTAGGGCCTAAGGCAGCGGATTTCTTTTCGGAAGCGATATTGTAATACGGGTTTATTTGCTATATTCATTGTGTGAACGCTTAGTATTATTTTAACATATATTAATAATTAATGCAATGCATTTTACTTTTCTCTATAAGCGTCGTGTGTGATATGTATGAGTAAATGGACTGCGGTTTACGTGATTCATAAATAAATGGATTGGTTTTTATTTCGTTGTTTTATTTTGCCTCGTAATTTTTTGTTATGTTCAACGATATATAATACTCTAGATACAACGAACAAAATCGTGGCCTAAAGGTACATTTGATCCACGAAGCTCTGTAAGATGATCGCGTAGTAAAAAAAAATATAAGGCATTATTTAAACATTGAAAGTCACTTTTAATGCATACTGTATTAGGTCTTAATTAAAACGCATGCGTTAAAGAGTTATGGCAGTTCGAAATGCAAGCTCGTATAATTTTACGACTATTATCTTATATGCGCAAAAATATAGACCTTATTCCTTTGATTCTACGCGCTCTTCTGAATGCGCTGTTAGCAATATAGCAGGTACGGACCGCGAGGAAAAGAGACGGCTATATAGCCGTCTTGTATGTACAAGGGCGGATCCAGCTTTGGCGCCAGGGGGGGGTCATATAGTCGTGGTCATGTCACAGTGGGTACAGATTGTGAAGTGGGTACAGATGAACCCAGCCCAGGGGGGGGGGGGTCATGACCCCTCCTCCGCTCTCCGTTACCCTAGTATCTCATCTCATAACACAAGTCTTATATATAAATTAACAAATTAAAAAAGACTTCAGAAATTAAAATCATAATCCTAACGTCACACAACAATGTCGGCGCGGCAAACGCATTTATTATGTTGTGTGTAGTAGTCTTTTAGATTGATCCATGGCTTTTCGCGTAATACATTCACATGCGACTAAGTTCTTGGGAAGACTGTCATCAGTATGGACTGACCGTGTAACCTGTCTATCAGTCAGATAGTGCTTTGATATATCAGTCCAGACTGATGGACTGAACTGATGCCAAACTGATCGTGTAAACCACCTCATACTCAGGTCTACGGTCCCTTGAAGTTATGAAAAAAACAAACTTCCAAGGAAATAAAGATACGGCTGTTTATGTTACGTACCCACTTTGTTCGGAACTCTCGGTGGCTTTTTTGTTACTGATCAATTTGATAAATAAAACAATTTCAGGCCGATATCTGTGTTTAATGTTTATCATTTCCATTGTAAGAATTTACAGACAAATTACTTAAAAAAGGTATAAAATTACCTACGTTTTATAAATTACATGCTTACAAAAAAAACATATAGAATCTGTGCGGCAAGAGAATGGGATTTGAATTGGAGGGCGCTGTAGTGCTTTTCTACCGTATTTGTAAGGTTTTACCCCTTTTAGACATGATTCAATACAAAAAACCGCAAGAAATCACAACAACAAACAAATCCGTTTCAATACAAAACTTTGAAGTTTTACAGATTGCTGGTTTTTATTGCCAAATAAAATTTTTAATGTTAGTTCCGTTTTTCGCCACGCCCATTCTCTTTCCGCACAGACTCTAATAAATATAACAGTAAAACATTAATATAAATATTAGTATAGTCAACGGCAGAGGTAAGTAGACAGTTATGACAACTATAGAGTAAAAATTAAATTCATTTTTAAATTCATTCAAATTCATTTTTAAAGTCTCATGGCGCGATTACACTTGATCGTTAACCCGAATACGAGTGCCTATGGAATTCGGGTAAACAGTACCCCTAGCACCGAAATGTCAATGTCAAATTTTGTATGGAAACTTGAACAGCAGCGGCATAAAGTACGTAACGAGAACTAAAAATCAGTACACATTTGACAATGACATTTCGGACTCGCAAACGATACGAATTCGATATTGGTTCGCGCTAGGGGTACTGATGGCGCAATTACATTTGGTCGCTAGCTCGTATTCGGGTGCATGAAAAACAATACCCGAATTCAAGCACCCGTAGCATTATTTACGGGCTAGAAGACGTTGTCGGGTAAACAAAAGGAAATCTACCTAAATACGGGCGCACACGACTCCGTTCATCTACAATAGTCGTTTCGTTTACGTTACATGGCGAATATAATTGGCAAATCGGCACATTACAATGAAATAAAACTCAAAACTTATGCTTGTTTTGAATATTTGAACAGTATCAAAAGTATGTATTTAAATTTACCTACAGCCTTAAAATATAAAAAAATAAGGTAACATAATAATAAGAATTAGGAACTTAGGAATCTGTCTGTCAGTAATTCTGATAACTTAACACAATGAATATCGAACATAACAAAATAGCAATGGAAAGTAAGTATGTATTAATTGAGTAAAATCTTAAGTGCTAGCGTGTCCATAGGTTTTTTTTCCTTAGAGGCAAATTATTGTGACGTTGGAACGTGAATATTTCGGCTTGATTTGGGGGACTCGTATCGTGCGTGAGCAAGCCGAGTAGTGACGAAATATTCCGAACACCTTCCTAAGATAGGTGTTAGAATGATCGGCATTGCAGAATAGTCGACCGATTAGTAGGCAATTCGAAAAACGACCTAGTCCGGCTAGTCGGTTAGTCGCCCCATCTCTAGTTAAAACCTCTAATAAGGTTGCGGAAACTCTTGAGTTTGGTGACAAACCTACTAATCCGATGAAACACTGTTTAGTTTTTTAAGAAACTGACGATGAGATACGATTACGGACCTGTGAAAATTTTAAATATTATACCACTTCAGTTAATAATTTCACGCCAACAAATTCTGCCACCCAACCTGTGCCTCCATTGTTCATTGTAGTAGTGAAAACAATTTTCACATAATTGTCTTCACTAATGTAATCGGCGGGCGTTTCGGAACAAAACGTGGAGGTTTTACCATGCCTATCGATTAATTGTAAGTAAATTTGATCACAAGCCCTACCAAGATCAAATACACTGAAACGTAAGTGAAGGCGTGTCCCTATTGGAGTCTCCAGCTCCCACTCGCACGTGCTTCTACGCCGGTATACGCTTGGGTACATTGGACTTGTAATTTTTCCTACTTCATTTTTAAGTGTTCCCCCGCATCCGGGGCCCTTATCTGTGGTAACGTAAGTCAGATCATAACTGATGTAACCAGCGCTTACCACACGACTGTGTATCAACATATTTCTTCCAGTGGATGACACTGATAATATGTCGTTATATTCAATACCAATCTTTTTCAGTCTGCGGTCGGAAGGCAATTTTCCGTCAAATATTTCAAGGTATGTTTCTTCTACCCAATATGTTGGCGAAAGCCGTAAGAAGTATGCTGATATTGTATGGTTTTCTGGAGCAGTTATTAAAGTGTAACAATCCTTTTTCGGTTCCGCATCATAGTCGTAAATTTCTAGCGACTTTATTCTACCATAAGGTTCAGTATAATTTCTACCGCAGTAATCTGCTTCCGAGAACTCTAATTCGACCCCTCTATGGGTAGCAGAATCAGACTCTGCTGAAGTTAGCACTGTTATAGACACGCTGCCACTGAAATAAAACTCAATTGCCGCTTGAGACCCACAATATGTGAAAGTCTTTGGAACTTTTATCAATTCCTGTTGTTCTAATAAGTAAGCACTGTCAATATATAAATCATTCTCCATATTTAATACCAAATCTTTCCCGATTGTAATATTATAAACATTTTTCAAATTTGAAATAACCAACTTATCTCTATTACATTGATTTGAGTTTTCAAGTGCTGGTAATAAATCAATATTTTTAATATTAAGGCGTATCGTATGCTGTCTTTTATCATGTAAATTATAAACACAATGTATTCCACGAGGTATAGAACCGGTCTCGTATCCAGGAGAGGTAATACGTTGCACACTCTTAGTTATAGTGTAACTACTTTGACCGCAAACAGACTCTTTGATGCTTAATGTAGCTTTAAATCCAGAACTATTAATTTCACCATCTGTAAATAGTCGGACAACCAATCCATTACCAGATGAAACTAATTCCGGTGGTAGTGTATGACCACAGAACTTGTCAATCAAAGCACTATCTGGTGCTACACCGTCTACTAACTCTACAAAATCGCAATCACATTGATTGTATCCTAAAGCAGTTTGGTTTACGTTCTGGCAAGGAGCTATATGGAATGACGTAAATTTAATTTTAATAACATGATCCACTGGAGCGACTATTGTCCAATGACAGTCTAAGAAATCTTCATAGAGTAAATTTGATCCAATTAGAGGAGATTTCAAATTATATATAGAAGTGGTGGTTAGATTGATGTCTCCACCGCATCCTACAGACGTGGAGTATGTAAATATTACCGCTACTTGAAAACCTTTTCCAGTCGAACTACTGTCTGTCCTCATGTTTAATACCATATGGTTATTTGAGCTCCTTATGACGGTACTTGAATTGTCACCCTCTCCACACAATAAACTTAAACGTTTGTCATCATTTATGAATAAACCTTCATAGATAGCCAAATAATCATTGTAGCACCCTGTACTGCTTTCTAAATCAAAGTATAAGAATCGAAGAGAAATTGATTTTTCGCTAGGGGCTTTTATAATCCACGTACAGTTCATATAATTAATGTAATAGTCAGTCGGATTTGATTTCAGTGTTGTTGGTTCTGTAACTTCGCCTCCGCATGCGGCTTTTTTATATGAGATTTTAAATCCTTTCCTTCCTGAATAATAATCTGTACGGAAAACCAAATTAATTTTTTCCTGAATAACAACCGGAGGCACCTCCTTTCCGCAATATATTGTCTCATATAAGAAGTCGTTTGCGGACTCACCTGACAACGTAAGGTTGTCGTTATTACAATCAGGATAATGCCCCTCTAATTCAAAATCTAGAAATTTCAATAGAACATGCCCATCAGTTGCTGTGAATCTATAAAGACAGTACAAATCGTTAGAGTAAGCATTGGGATAACCAGGGCTATACAAAAATTGTTCTTCATCTGTAGCATTGTAATTACCACCACAAATACGTACCCACTCAGCCTGAAATCCATCGAGATTTATTTCACTGTCGGTGCGCAATATCACTTTCATTTTGTTAAATGTAGAATTGAACATTGGTGGAAGTGTACGCCCGCAAAGGCGGCTCATTTCTATGTATTGGTTATCTTTCCAGTCGTATACTATGACCGCATCTTTTGTACAGTTGGGTCGTGATTCGACAGCGAATCGACCTATAAATCTAAGCGATATCCTACTGCCTTGATCTGTTTTCATTTCCCACGTACATTCTTGGTTTTCTGTGTAGCTTTTGGGATAATTCGGTGATTCAAATATACTCTCGTAAGTCATTAAATATCCACCGCACTGGTTTTGAACAGTGTTTAACAATAATTTAATGTTAGTTTCATTCTTTGCTTTAGTGTGATATTGGATATAAAGCATGGAATATTTGAGTTGTATTGGATCTTCCTGTGTTTTATCTTTACAATAATCGCCTATTTTTGTTGATACAGCTGTGACATCTGAATGTATTGTTACAAATTCATCCTGACAATTCAATTGGAATTTACCATCCAACTTCACTTTTACCCTTGTACCGATGGGTATTATAACTAACCAGGCACAATCTAAAGAATCATTGTAAGCACTTGGGACGTTTATAATGTTAATAGGATTTTCTGTTGCATAGACCACCCCACCACAGGGTTGAAATTTCCAATAAACATTAAAAAATAATGAACCGGTTTTTCTTTTTATGGCCATTATATCTACTGCGGGTGATGGTAATCTAAGATCTTCATTAGTGCCACTTTTACATAGGATTTTATTGTATCTTATTCCTCTATTACTTATAGTATATTTTATGGATAATTTCGGATCTGTATATCGACATACACTACTGCTCACTGATGAATTTATATGTACTCTTAGAAATAATGTGTTTGCAAACAAATCCGTAGAGTTTATTGTATTTGCTAAATTTACAGCATTATAATTATATTTCCATTTGCATGTGTAAGATCTATCAAGGTCTGGTGATATGAATTGTCCACTTGAGCCGATTAAGTGTTCACCGCAAAGTGCTGGTTTATCAGTAGTATATTTTGCTTTGAATCTATGACGTGATCCAGTGGTAGGATCTAGCCAAATATACAGAGCCATCGTATTCCCAGACGATTCAAAAATTTGTGTTGTTGGCGAATATTCATCACTAGGAATTGTTTGTATGAGACTGCGATGAAACTCATCATTGTATATATTGATTCTATGTCTTTCGATATCAGCATCTATAAGCTCTAATGTTACTCTCCGACTTTCGTCTGGCACGATGATCCTCCAATGGCAGGCCCTTAATGTAGTGTATCTTGGATATCCGGGTGTAGACAGATAACCATCAGGGGTATTAAATGTTCCTCCACATTTAGGTATCGAGGAGTTAAAAGTAAAACGGAAACCTCTATAATTAGATGATTGTGTGTATACACTTGGCTTACCAATACGAAGTTTGATGATAACGTCATTTGTCAACGTTTCAATCAGTCCATGGGACTCCGAGTTAAAAATATCATCGTTACAGAATGTCTTTAATATTGTGACGGTGTTATTTTCTGGGAATGACTCCTCGATTGTTACTCTAGTGTCACAGGGTGCTTCAGATTCTGGTAAGTCTATATCTTGAGCTTGAATTAAAAAAGTAAATAGTGGATTGCCTTTCAGATGCCATTCACACATTGAGCCGTATTTAAGCCTTGGTTTAAGAGGATATCCAGGTGATGATATTTCTCCTACTTTCGCTACAATTGTTCCCCCACAAATATCTATTGAAACGTTAGCTTTGAAGCCGTTATTTGGGGGAAGTTTTTGTGTTGAATATTTTACGTACAGCACATTGTTACTAGTTTTGAGAGTACCGGGATTTTCAGTGCCACAGAATCGCTCTTTGAGTGGTGCTAATTCAGAAGATCCATCCCGTACCTCTATAAATTCTAATCGACAGTTGATGTCTTTGTCCAGATCTAGACGGTCAAAGTCTATTTTCAAAATTTCGCCAGGAGGACCTGAGAATTTCCAGATACATTCAGTATACGCTGTTGGTATAGATGGGTAGTTTGGAGAAGTTATTTCATCCCAAGTATGATCCGAGTTTAAAGTAGCAGTAGAACCGCATTCTCTTGTTTCTTCTTCATACCATATATTAAACGTCTTAAATATTCTTTCAACTAAGTAATTGGTAGAATACGTAATAACTAAAGAATTACTTGAAGTGGTCATAACACTTCGTTCTTCATGAGAAAATCCACAATATTTTCCACTTCCTAATAAAGGCGACTCAGAAGATTCTCCATTATGTAGCGTTACGAATGTATTGCACTCCAACGTATTCGTAATATTAAATTGTAGGAAGGAAAATTTAATTAATCGTCCTGGTCTAACTTTTATTTTCCATTCACATTTAGTGGGATAGGTATCACTACGGATAAAATCATACCAAGAGGGGCTTACCTTCCCAGATATGTCAGTAAGAATACCGCCACATTGAGAACGTAGCGTTGCCTGAAAACCTTTAGCATTTATTGATGAATCAGTAAGGAATGCTATTTTTACATAAGTTGAGGCGTTAATATTTTTTTCTAATTCGCCAAACAAACACACTTTTTGTTTGATAGGTTGCCACTGCATTAAGTTATCGGAAGTGAAAATAGAAATAGAATCAGCAAAACATCCCGACGTTTCTTCTAATCTCACGACTCGAAATTGTAAACGTAAATGATAACCTGGTGTGGCTTTGTAAACCCATGTACAATTTAAATTATTATCGTAAGACGAAGGGTAATTTGGTGACGTTAAAGTAAGTACTTGATCTGGTTCGACGATCTGAGTGCCATTTGAGCCACAATTAGGATTTTTCGCTGCTGTGTCAACACTTTCAGGTCTACCTGTTTTAGCCCAACCCAATAAAAATAATGATCCCGTGTTGCTATCATCAAGTTTCAGTTTTATATAAACAACGTTGGAGGTAGTTTGAAATGATTTTTCATTGTAATTTAACACTCCACAAAGGTTTTCCAACAAAAATGCTTCATCGTCATATCCATCATAGATAGCGAGGTAACTTGAGCATGAACTTCCTATCGACATAATTTCTAATCTCGTTATACGAACAGTAATGGTGCCAGACGAAACGGTTACCCTCCATGAATAATCAGCAGCTCCTTCGTATCGTGTAGGATAAAGCGGTGAAGCTATATTCCCGCTATCTGAACCGCTTATATCATTGCCGTGCAGGAAACCGTACTTTATCATAAATCCACTGTCTGTATCTTGGTTATCGCTATGAAATTTTATGTACAATCTTGCAGCATAAGTATCGTTAAATGTTACTTTGCTTCCACAGTATATTCCTAGTAGCCGACCAGCGCTGTGGTTTTCCCGTACTTCCACATAGTCCTGGTTGCAATCTTCTGAATCTTGTAAATTAAAATTTTCAAACACTATATAAACTCTGTTTCCTGGTGAAGTTCCCAGAGTCCATTCACAGTCTGTGTTGATGGGATAAGGCTGTGGATAGTTTGGTGAAGCAATAGCTCCTTCCTCGGATGTTAATGTGCCTCCGCAAGCACTCGAAAATGAAGTATAATGTGCCGAAAATTGCCCTTCAATAGTGTTATCATAAGTACCTAGTTCAATAGTCAATGCATATCCGTGACTTACAATACTTGGTGGGATTTTTTTACCACAATATTCCCCAACTACAGGCGAACTGTCATCATCACCATCACGAATCCGTAGAAATGATGATGGACAACTTCTGTTTGAAGATATGTCATAGTTTTTTGACAAAGACATATGAGTTAGCGTTAAAGTTATTTTTTGATCGGTACTCGGAGCAAGTATAGTCCATATGCAACTTATATTCGTATGCCTTAAGAATTTATCGTTGGTTATTATACCGTCTCGAGTTGCATTTATAATAGCGCCACACGTCATTGTGTAATTAGCTTTGAAACCCTTGGCTGTTCCTTGAGCATTAGTAACAAACTGCAAGTACAAACTATTACTTTTTGATATATACTGTTGAGCTTGTGTTCCTGGACAAATTATATGGGTATAATTTTTATTGATATAACCATCATAAATTTTGATGTTGTCATTACAATCCTCTTCATCCTCGTTATACAGATCTATGTCTATGAAATTTAATTCAATACGGTGATTACTAGGTACCATTATTCTCCAAATGCAATCTATATTATTGTCATAGTTGTTAGGGTAGTTTTTAGAATATAGCATTCCTGTTGTAGCTGCCATTTCAGAGCCGCAACCGTAGTGAAAAGCGTTATAAGTTGAGGAGAAATATACATCTTTTAAGTTGGAGTGTTTAGTTAAACGTATCAACATGAAATTTGAGGTGGAGTACACTTGAATAGTATCAGAACGATGACAAAACTTTGTTATGAGCGGTGAATTAGCTGTTTGTCCATTAAATACTTCTATTGAGTCGACAGTGCAATTTTTAGAATCTGTCATGTACACTGAATTAAAAGTAATCATAATATTAGCGCCAATTGGACTTTCGATTAACCATTCACATTCCATTTCTCCACTGAATGAAGTGCTATCGAGAATGATGGTACCGTATCGTTTTTTAAAGTATCCACCACAGCCGTAACTCACCCATTCAAGTCTGAATCCTGTAAGAGTTCTAAAGGATCCACTAACAAATTTTATTTGCAGTGAATTGCTGGCGGTGCTTATCATGCGAGGCGCTACAGACCCGCAAAATTTGTCTGAAAAATCAACTTGGTTGGTCTCTTTCCACTGCAAATAATGATTATAACATTTTGAACGAATTTTCGAAGACCAAGAGTTGCGGTATGAACTGAGAATATCGAAATGAGTAAAAGTCACGTTAATTTTTTGCCCTTTTGGGGCATTGATAGTCCATATACAATTTAAGTCCATTCCATAGTTGCCTGGATAGCCAGGACTTTCAATCACACCGTATTTCCCAGTTATATTTGTTTCACATATTGTATCATAATTTATCAGGAACCCTTTACTTGCAATATAAAAATCAGATCGAAATTTTACAAAGGCAATGTTGCTTGTTGTTTCAATAATACCTAAAATAGGATTTAAAAAGCAAAATTTACCGAAACTATTCGATGTTTCATCTCTTCCATCAAATATTTCTACGTAATCATCTTTACAAAATGGTGTTCTCTCCAAATCTAAATCAACAAACCGTATGCGTATTCGAGATCCTTCACTAGTAACGATTCTGTAAAAACATTCAGCATTTTCGTAGTAGTCATTCGGATAATTTGGAGATGAAATTGTTCCGTGTGGACTAGTCACTGTCCCACCGCAACCTGTTATAGTACCATCCCATTCTATTTTAAAACCATTACCTGTTAGATAGTAATCTGAATGAAATCGTAAATATAAATTATTTGAAATCGATGTTACACGTTTTGACTGAAAGGTTCCGCAGTATTTTCCAATTAAGGGGGAATTCCGACTATCACCATTTCGAATTTCCAAATAATCACCGAGATCACATTTATCGCGTATAGGACGTTCTAAATCGAACTGTGAAATGTTTAGCATTATTTGTTGACCAACGGGAACTATAATTACCCATGTGCAATCACGATTAGGCTCGTATTTTTTCGGCCATCCCGGTGAATATATATATCCATGTGACTTTGCATAAACTGCCCCACAGTGTGTCTTATCATCTAAAAATGTATACGATAAAGAAAATCCGGTCGATCGAATACTGCCGTCAGACAAAAATCTTATCATTAAGCGATTTGTTGTAGTAGTCAAAGATGGAGGATATGACGCACCGCAGAATTTTCCGAGACTTTCATTATGATTACTAACATCGATTTCAAGAAGTTCCACGTAATCACTGCTGCAGGTCAAATGATTTTCGATTTCAAATTTGTTCCATGATAATTTGATATGCATTCCTTCAGGGGCGACTAGCATCCATATACATTTCTGGTTATTTTGTGCAGTCACAGTAGAGTCATCTCCAGACGGGTGCTTAATAAGTCCTGTAGTTTCCCTGTATATACCGCCACATTCCGTATCAATTGTCGTAAAATTTGCATAAAATCCAGTACCAGAAATGCTCATATCTGATGTGAATCGTATATAGAGGTAGTTATGTGTGGAAATTTTTACAGGAGGCATATGTTCTGGTCCACCACCACAATATTTTCCTAGAAGTGTTGCATTGCGATCTGAACCATCTCTTATTTCAACATTATCATATTTACAGTCATAATAATTGTTGTCTTCGATATCAAAATATTGAAAAGTTAACTGGATTGCTTTTCCAGGTACAGTCCCTATGATGTATTCGCATACTTTATTAGAAGGATAAAGAAATGGATACCCAGGCGATTTAATGATACCACTTTCTCCAAAAATCGTTTTCTGACAAACAGTTTCGAAAGAAATTTTAAATCCTTCTGATGAAGCACTGTGATCAGTTTTAAAAATAATGAAAAGACTATTGGATGTCGAGACATATGAATTTGGGTAGGAATTACCGCAAAATTTGCCGACTAACCTGGAATTTGCTGATGGCCCATCATAAACTTTCAAATAATCATACCTGCATCTTACGGATCTTTCTAATTTAAACGATTTAAAGTCTAATCTAATTTTAGAGTCCGAACCTGTTACTATTTTATATTCGCATAACAAGTTATCTAAATAATAACCATTATATGAAGGTGAAACGATTTCACCTTTGTCCAAAGTATAGTAGCCACCGCAACCGGGTATGCCTTCAACAGGTGCGAAGGTTATTTGGAATCCATTACCCGAACCATATGCGTCTGAATGAAAATGTATAGTTATTTCGGAACTTGATGATTGTAGGGGCGCAGGTTGGGTAGAGTTACAGTATTTAATTAGAGGATCACTAAGCTGTTCTCCATCATAAATTGCTAAGTAATCAAAACTACAATTAGCGTGAGATTCAATATCTAATGCGAAGAAATGTAGTGATATTCTTTTTCCAAAAGTAGTAGACAAATGCCAATAGCAATCTCTATTCGGTGGGTATTTGCCTGGAGAACCCGGCGAATTGATATGTCCGTAAGTGGTGGCGTCTATTTCACCGCCACAAACTGGTTTGACGCTTTCCCAATGAAGAGCGAATCCTTCTTTAGCAACGGTTTTATCAGAACGGAACCATAAGTACAGGTTATTATTGCTAGATATAATATTACCCCCTTTTGGTAAATCATTCCCGCAAAATCTACCTATTAGTTGACTGGATGAAGTTCGTCCGTCGTGAATTTGTAAAAAGTCATACATACACTCGGGCTCTGGCTCTAAATTGAATTTACTAAATGTTACATTTATAACTTTATCTGTCGCCGTATGGATCACCCACGCACATTTGGAATTATGATCGTAAGAGCTATTAGTTAAAGGATATATAAGGCTACCTTCTTCTGCATCCAAAACACCACTGCATGACCTTGATTTCATCTGACACAAATTTCCAGTGTACTCGGCAGTACACTCGCATCTGAAGTCGGTAAAACTGTCGCCCGGTCTACATGTGCCTCCATGTTGACATGGGTTGCTCGAACAATAGTCTACTGGAACATCACAATGAACACCATTGTAACCCTTATTACATAAACATGTGTACCCGGACAATAGTGGGTGGCAATGGCCGTTCACACACGGGTTATTTTCACAACGCTGAGTAGAATTACCACCGATTGTAACATAACATCCTTGAAGCCCGATTCCGTCACCTTCCATTCCCAGTGGGCAAATGCATTGCACTACTGCCATGCTGTCAATACATTGTGCAGAAGGATGACATCCGCCATGATTGATATTACAAGTGCCTCTCCAAGTACATGTTGCTCCATCTCCTTGATAACCAGGAGGACAAGGACCGCAGATACGAGATCCTATTGTGTTGTGACACGTCACCAACGGGCTGCAGCCGCCATTTAGGATTGTCTCACATTCGTTTATATCATGACATGTGAAGCCGTCTCCTTCATACCCCGGAGGGCATTGTCCGCATCTGAATGATCCGGGTAGATTGATGCAATCGACTTTCGGGTTAGCGGAACAGCGCAGCCCGCGACTAGAGTCACATTCATTGACGTCGGTAAGACATGCTATTTCAGTGCCATTCGTTTCCCAACCTTGATTACATATACACTTTATGCCTTCACCACTCGTAACAGGAACACAAGTACCAAATCCACACATTTCATAATTGCCAGCGGAACAATCCTTTGCCCGCCTCGTACAATGTATTCCAAACCAACCTGAAGCGCAGAAGCATTCGTATGTTCCCGGTCTGTTGATGCATGTTGCACCATTTTGGCAACCTAAGTCTGTTCCAGCAAAATTACGACACTCATTAACATCAATATCACAATTTTTTCCTTCCCAATTTGATGGACATAAACAATGGTAGCCGTCCACTAAGTTTAAACAAGTACCGGCATTTTGGCAAGGATTGTTTTGACATTCGTCTTTCACTTTGTCACGTATTAAACTTTGGAAATTTGATATTCGATTGTTAAGTCTATTAACTTTTCTTATCAAAAATGTTATATTATTAATTGCATCACGTGGTGTTTCTTTTATTTGTTCCTCCAGTCGCTCTAAACGACTTATAATCCCATTCGGCCCATTCAAATATTTTTCAAAATTATCATTTGGAGCAATTGGATACTTTTCGCTATTATCGGAAACACTTAGATGGAGTAAGTTTATATCTTGCACGTAAATACCAGATTTGGGTCCATTAGTGCGTAAGTAGATATTTTGATCTTGAGCTGCTTCAAGTATAAGATGTCCATTCGAAGTAGATATTTTAGGTCGACCTTGAAATTTTTGACATTCGAACTGCACGAACCACACAACAAAGTACAAACACCTTATCAATATTGTTGACATTTTCAAGGGTCTGAATTCAAACCCGATTTTCATACAACTAGTCTTGATTGACAGAGCGAGCGCTTTTATGAGCTGGCCTTGAGGGGCGTATGATACGCCCCCGACAAAACAGATCAATTTACGTTACACTTAGCTGGAAATGTCGTCGATAAATATGGGCCATATGTTATGTGATGGTGAATCAGCTTTATCTGCAGTCAGACGACGATGTATTTTTCTAGTATTTTAGTATGAAGCACAATGTGAGTGCAAGAGGAAGCGCGAAAAACATCTATTTAGCGCCAATGTTGAATGTGCATATAATTTGTGTTATGTCGGCACTTTACATGGCTATTCGTATTTGCTATTAAATTTGTAATAAGGACAACCTGCAGTTAAAATAGCAAATACGAAGAGACATATAAATTGCCGGCAGTACTCACACACAATCAACGAGTAACTATTTGTATGAAGTAACTATATAAATCGTGATCAGCCCAAGAACTTCCTTTATAAATATTATGCGAAGTAGTCTTTTAACTATGTAGTAGTTTTGCGTAGTATTCATTTCGAGACTCCATGGGCATCATGCAAATTAGGCATTTGTGACTAAACGTGTGCATGAGTCAGCCTTCGATAGGCTCCGTGGAAAAGTTGGATACAGGGAAACCAGATTTAAGGTGTCGCGTACTCTAAGAAACTAGGTTTTTATCTCAGGGTTTTTATGTTTTTACGATGAATACAAGTATTTAAAGCTGGTATGGCTTATACTTACTTCTCTAGTATCGTGACGTGCACATCTATCCGTTACCCTAGTAGCCATCTAAAAACAAACCTATCTATTTACCTACCTACCTATTTGCAAAGTTTAATATATATTTACACAATGTAAAGTGGGCGTTGACGATTGATAAAGCAGTAGGAATTATACCTCGCATTAAGATTTTTATATTCGTTCAAACAATATATACAAGATTCAATGTGTTTTGACTAAGGTTTAATATACATTATTTTTCAAGATATGAATATACGAATCTCATCTTTTTTATTTCTATAGCCATGACAACCAAGATGTAACTGACAGACAAATATACAAAATAAAATTTGAAATTTAGTTTTGTATACTAACCAAGTGGTAGATAGATCTGGGAAACGGAAACTTACTGGCGCGTTGGGACTTGAAACAGTGAACAACTTCATCTACTTGGGTTCCAACATCAGCAACAATGGGTCGTGCGATATTGAAGTACGCAGGAGAATTGGCATAGCTAAGGGCGCCATGTCTCAGCTTGGCAAAATCTGGAGAGATTGCAACATATCCGTAAAGACCAAAACCAGACTGGTACGGACTCCAGTCTTCTCGATTTTTTCGTATGGCGCTGCGACCTGGACCCTGAGAGCTGCAGATCGCAAACGCATCGACGCCTTTGAGATGTGGTGCTGGAGAAAGATGCTCCGTATCCCTTGGACAGCATTCCGGACTCCGAGTGTTTGCGCAGAGTCCTTGAGTACTTCGGCCACATTGCAAGGAAGAACAGTGACAACCTCGAGAAGCTGATTGTGACCGGCAGAGTAGAGGGAAAAAGACCGCGTGGACGCAGCCCAATACGTTGGTCTGACCAGATTCGTACCGCTCTAGACTCGACAGTCCACAATGCCCTCCACACAGCCAAAGACAGGAACAGATGGAAGACCATCATACTGAAGAAAGTGATGCAGAAGGGAGGTCACGACCCTCAGTAATGAGGAATGCGACCCAAGGAGGAGGAGGATACTAACCAAGCGTATGTCGACCGTCCTTTAAAAGGACGCTATCAAAAAAGCCTGTGCACCATCCTTTAAAAGGTTGTCTTATTACCGCGCCACTTTAGAGATTAATTTAGCTTGGTTGAACTATTATCATCTTTCTCAAACTTTACAACAGTATAGGAAGTAAAACAAAGATGGCATACATAATTATAACTCCCGCCAAGTGATATATGACCTCCAATCAACACTGAGCGCGCCTATTGTTTGCCTTCATTCAGTCTTGGCGCGTCAAGTGTACACGGAATATAACGAATAAAAAAATGATTGAGGTACCTAGTGTTTTTCATTGCTTTTTGTTAAATATTTTATTGTGTGATAAACAACCCCAATATAACTTCCATCAAAGCCTTTTAGTAATAATTATAAGAATTTTAATGCAGAAAAATAGAGAAAAATCACTTGTCCTAATTTCTCCTTCGAATTAGTAATTAGATTTGTATGATTTTATTTATTTTTTAAGCATTTAACTGCTAGATGTTTAAATCTAAAGAAAAGTTTACTAAGTAATTAGATTTGTAATAAAACTATACTCGATTATACATAATCTGATAGCTCATTTAATAAGTAGGCCAGTAATTTAAGGTTTTAACATAGTCTTCCTAGAGAAATTTTATAGAAATTATATATATATACCAACCAACGATATTAAATACCCTAGATACACCAACACGAACAAAATCGTGCCCGAAACCTGTCCAAAAGCTACATACGATCCGCGTTGTCAAAAACAATATAAGGCATTATTTAAACATTGAAAGTCACCTTTAATCATTACTGTATAAGGTCTTAATTAAAACGCATTCGTCAAAGAATTATGACAGTTCGAAATGCAAGCTCTCAAAATTTTATGCGGAAGATTTTATTTTAATTTATATATGCGGAAGAATACAGACTTTATTTCTTTGCCTCTACGCGCAATTCTGAATGCGCTGTTAGCAATATAGCAGCTATGGAACGCGAGGAAAAGAGATGGCTATATAACCGATCATGCCTTTGAATATCACAAATATTTTCTATTAGTTTATAATAAAGTATTAGAACAAAATTTGCTTCAAATGCGTTAAATTAACTAACACTGATTAAGATACCTGTCGAAAAAATTATACTTTATAAACTAGAAGCATTTTTCCGCATTTTTTCACGGAGCTCTGCGGCAACTTGACTTTTCAACGGTCCGCGCGTGACTGTGAAGTCTAAGAAGTGCTTGAGTTACGTTCAAGCACTTCTTGATAGGGACACATTTTGAGCGCATGTGGTGTATCTAGGATATTTAATATCGTTGATATATATACATAATGCGCAAATTGGCCACGACATTATACGGGCTAAGAGCCGCACACGGACAAATACAAGAGTCAACAGCTTGGAGCTGCCATTGTTAACTAACAAGAGCAGAATCAGATGTCAAAACAAGTCATCATTATATTCATTCGACTCAAAAACTCACCACTCTGAAAAAAGCTGTGATTTTGGTACAGTCTAATTTTGAGGTCAAACTATAAATACACATAAAAGTTTAAAGTGATGTGATTTTGATACTGTCTTATTTTAAAATTAAGCTATAAATATACTGTTACGTGTCGGGATGGGGTTTGAAATTATATGCCACTTCACGCTTCACAATACTTTATTCACCACACAGTTTAACGCGTCTTCCCTTTCGTCAACTTGAGTACCGGTTGACATCGCCCGGTTTATCCGCTGGACCGGGCAGTTAGTCCTTGTAGTCATTACGTACTGCTTCTACCTCCAGGGCGTGCGCTGAAGCAGCTTCCAGGGACGTAGGCGGCGTGGCAGTAGTGGTAACACCACTGTGGTGAGCAGCCTGTGGTGTGCTAGTTTCTTCATCAAGCGCCGCTGCTTCCGACTCCCGAGAATGGTCTATTACGGCCTGCCTTCGAGTGCGTACGCCTTCGCTTCCGTTACGCGGTGTGATTGGCATGTTACTTTCTGTCAGCAGTTGTTACGTGTCGGGATGGGGTTCGAAATTATATGCCAGTTCACGCTTGACAGTACTTTATTCACCACACAGTTCACACATTTTTTTCTCACCATAATCAGTTTCTTATTCCATTAAAAACACTAAGTAAAAAGGTCACTTATCTAATTATGGCGGGCTGACACCTGAACTAGGAAAAAACCCGTGTCTCAGGTTATCAGCCCTCCACTCTTTAAATGTAATGCAATACAACACAGTTTACTGTATTATGAACATATTGATTGATATTATTTACTAAAAAACTAATTTATTTGACAATTATAATATTGGATTTGAGGGTAGGTAGTGTGAATACGCGTCTTTGATATGCGTGAACAAGAAAGGTGCATGACTGTTTTTACTTACACGTTGTGTATTGATAAAAGTGCATAACTCAAGGACGTTGTCGTGTGGGTCAAAGCAAAAACGATTAGCGTGTAATACTGTAGATACATTAGATAGTTAAAAATAAATTAAATTGAAAAGAAAATTGTTATACTTTTATAAGTTTGTAAATAATTTCATAATGTTTAACACTGTTATAATAAATAAGAAAGTAAATAAGTATATTTGTATGTAGTATGTAAATTTTGCTAAATATAATTATTTTACTCAAAAACAGCATACCCATTCAGGTTTCGATTAGGTGTTTAGAAGTAATTAATATACATAAATTCCTTTTTTTATGTGATAACAAACATTTTAGTTTAAATGTAATATTAGCTTACTATTTTTAAGAGTTTTTCTGTTAACACACAATGTTAATTACAAAACACTCACTAAACACTGTATTTCACTATACAAGTCTCTAAACAATTGCACTTTGATCTCCTTTGGATTCGCTCCGAAATCGCTGTTGAAACTCAGCTGTCTCTGTGCGGCGCCAATCGCGCTTAAATACGCCGATCAACGCATTCTAGAAAGTACCTGTCAAATTGAGAGTGACCTAGCACCCGCGAGTACGAAGTACCTGCTTATACCTACGCAGGTAACGCGCAATACTTGTAAACAAGTGCAGATGTCGTTGCACTTTCTCCCTTACTCCGCACCGCATAAGGCTCATTTGAGAATGAGCCGCATTACTCGACCTCTATCGCGACCCGTGCTGCTCTGGCACATTCTAGCACCTTCGAGGTTCCGCTTCGAGAGCATTTGTGACAATATTTAGAAATAAAAAAAAAAGTGATTTTGAGATCAACCCATAAATATTTATTGGACATTTGACATCATTAAACACTTTAATTTTGAAAATACAAATTGTTTTGAT